TGTTCAATAATGATGATAATAAAGAAGATGATTGAAGAATAAGAAAAGTTAGTGAATAAGTGATGTAATATAGTAAAAGTTTCTTTGTGAGAGTGTATACAGAATACTAGCTGAATCAGAGATAGATTATATAATTATGAAATACTAGTAGTGAGTAGACTGGCCGCCGGGACCATGAATTTCATGTTTGGTCTCATTTGGTCTGGTCTCATACATTTCTTGGCGTGAATCCCACTGGGACTGGCTATCAAAAAAACATGTAAAGTGACTATATATCAGATCTTAAAATGGAACCATGACTTGAAAAAAATGAGAAAGTGGTCCCATTTGGTCCCATTTAGTCCCATTCTTGGCATAAAGTTACTATTTTTAGACCTTTTAAGGTTTTTTTTAGACTATTTTTAATTTTTTAAAAAGTAACGCTTTTTGGTAACACTCAAATGAGATTTAAAGTCATTTAAAGCAATAAAAATAATTTAAAATGAGAAGTGGAAATCATGGTCCCATTTGGAAAATGTGACAAGAGTAGACAGTAAGTCCCACTGGGACAGTATGGGATCACTATATAATGTTAAAACCGTGTAATGGGATCAGTCGAATTGGTAATGAGACTATCAAAAAATCTAGTCCTGGTCCCAGACACGGTCACACGGTCAGTCTAGTAGTGAGCTAATTCGCATGAAGCTAGAGTGTATGACATGATCATATGAGTGTGACTGAATCTGATGAGAGAGGATGTGATTTGAAAGAATGTATAACTGTTGAATAATAATGCAGCTGCTTCTGAACTTGCTTATAAGTGTAAAGGAGTCATAGCAGCCACTAATTAATTTAGCGTACGATATATAAGAAGCCGGCGTACGCCTGTAATCGTACGCTGGCTCAAGCAACCTTTGAATCACACATCAATGAAACTCTAGCATAGATTGAGTGAGCTCAATGATTTACAAAGCTAGATGTCATCACTGTATTTCATAAGATTTGTATTGCTGAAGAAGATGAATAACTTACAGCATTCTGAACATATTATAATCTCTTTGAATGAATAGTCACACTCTTTGAACTGACTAATGCTCTCAGTATATTTAAGAAGTATATTAACTGAGCACTCTGAAATTTCCTTGATAAGTTTGCATCTGCTTATCTAGATGACATTCTCATCTTCACTAATAAATTCAAAAAAGAGTATCAAGAGTATGTGTGAAGAATATTATAATAACTATAAGAAGCAGAACTATCAATTGATATTAACAAGTGTAATTTCAAAGTTAAGAGTACTAAATACTTAGATTTCATCATAGAAGCTGATAAGAAAATTTGAATGAATTCTGAGAAGATCTCTGTCATCTTTGAATGAGAAGCTTTATATACTGTGAAAGATATATAAAGCTTCATTGAATTCACTAACTTCTGTTGATGATTTATATGAAACTTCTCAGATATTACAAGATCACTTACAGATCTTACTAAGAAAGACTCAGTATTTCAATAATCAGTGAATACTGAAGCTGTATTTACATAGATAAAGAAGATGTTTATTAATATCTCTCTACTGATAATATTTGATTCTGATTATGAGATAGTTGTTGAGACTGATTTCTCTGACTATGTGATAGAAGAAGTGATATTATAATATAATAATGAAGATATTCTATAATTATATATCTTCATATCTAAGAAACTGAGTCTCACTGAATATAATTATAAGATCTATAATAAGAAACTTCTTACAATTATACACTATTTAAAAGAATGAGACTCTGAACTCTGAAGTGTCTCTGAATTTGAAATAATAACAGATTATAAGAATCTCAAATACTTTATAACTACTTATAAACTTACTGAATAATAGATATAATAATCTGAGTTCTTAAGCTGCTTTCATTTTATAATACACTACTATCTCAGCAGTCAGAACTTAATAATAGATACTCTCTTATAATGAGAGCAAGATATGTCTTCTGATGTAGCAGACACTCATTGAATGAACTGAGAACACTAACTTCTAGATCTGAAGATATTAGTTGATCAAAATAGAACAACTCATGATATTATATACACTTCTCTGATTAGAATACTTTCTCTTCAAACTAACACTGATACTGATATCTCAACTTCTTCTGAATCTACACTAGATAAACTATAATATGTAACAGCTCAAACTGATAAACTTCTTCAAGTACTTACTGAAGCAGTATGATAAGAAGCACTCTGATTTCTCTCAGAACTATGTATAAGAACTAACATCTCAGAATGTTCAATTAATAATAATAATATTCTATAATTTTATAAATGATGCTGAGTCTCTCACTCTAAACTCTTACACACTTGAATAATACAAGAGATGCATGATTTATATATAACTGATTATTCAGACTGTGAACAACTGTATAGAATAATCTTCTGAGAATTCTACTGATCTGAGATATTAAACAGTATCAGATGCTTTATCTGAAACTGTAACTATTATTCTTCTATTATCTTATAAAAGAACTGTAGAAAAGATCTGCTGAAACTGCTTGATATCTCTGATAGAATCTAGTGAGATGTAATAATTAACTTCACTATCAATCTCTCTGAGAGTAAGAGTTGTAGAAACATTCTAGTCATTATGAATTAATTAAGCAAAGATATAATATTAAAATCTTGTAATAGAATGAATACTGAACAAGTTACTGAAGCTTTTTTATAAAGTCTGTTCTATCAGATATATGAATTACTGAGATCTATAGTATCAGATCAGAGCTGTTAATTTATAAGTACTCTCTGAATAAGAATCTGTTAAATTCTCAAGATTATATACTATCTGTTAACTATCTATCACTCTGAGACTGATAATATATCAAAATGAATAATTCAGACTGTGAAGAATTATCTTTATAAGTTCTATAATTACTTATAAGATAATTGACATAATCTTCTTCTACACACAGAAATTGCTATTAATGATCAAGATGTTATTTTAATAGATATAAGTCTGTTCTTTCTTATATATAAATATTATATGAAAGTACTGAATCTTCTAGAGACTACACAGTTCACACTGAATCTCTGCAGTCTGATTCAAATTACTGATAATATAATAATAAAGCTCTGAGATGTCTGTAACTGAGCAGAGATCTTCAAGATAACTGTGAAACAAGATTAAGAAAATTAAATTAATATCTGATAAGATTCTACAGAGTAGTATAAGATAGAAGACCTTGTATAATTGAATCTCAAGAATATATAAATTATATGTTCATTTTATACACTAGATTATCATCATATTAGATATAAAGTGATAGAAGTTCTAGATAGTTATAACTACTGTCTTAATATATTATCAGAGATTTATAATATCTTTTATACAAGCTTGCTTCACTGTACTATTATCAATCTGTTCTCTTCTTAACTGACTTTCAATTGATAGCTGTCAGAAATCATAGAAGAAGACAATAAACTTGAGTGAGAGATTGAAGATATTCTTAATAAAAGACTTCACAGCTACAGCTGATAATATTTTATAAAATAAGTCAGCTATAATTAACTAATCTGAACTCTGAGTTCTGTGTTATCTGAAACAGTGATTCTTAACTGATAACAACTGCTTCTGAAAGAGAGAGACTAATATAACTAGACTGATTGTGTGACCGTGTCTGAAATCAGAATCAGATTTTTTAATAGTCTCATTATCAATTCAACTGATCTCATTACACAGTTTTAACATTAGATAGTAGTCTCATACTGTCTCAGTGAGACTTACTGTCTACTCTTATCACATTTTTCAAATGAGACCATGATTTTCACTTCTTAATTTAAATTATTTTTATTGCTTTAAATGACTTTAAATCTCATTTGAGTGTTATCAAAAAGCATTACTTTTTAAAAAATTAAAAATAGTCTAAAAAAAACCTTAAAATGTCTAAAAATAGTAACTTTATGCCAAGAATGAAACTAAATGAGATCAAATGAAATCACTTTCTCATTTTTTTCAAGTCATGATTTCATTTTAAAATCTGATATATAGTCACTTTGCATGTTTTTTTGATAGCCAGTCCCAGCAGGATTCACGCCAAGAAATGTATGAGACCAGATCAAATGAGATCAAATGTGAAATTCATAGTCTCAGCAGTCAGTCTAAATATGACAGACTGTGTCTGATTAATTATATAGACTATTTCATTACACTTTACAGATTTCAACTGCTTTATTCTTGAATATATATGCTTTAATTCTTAGTCATTCTCAATTGCTGATTCTCAGCTACTATGAATATATATAGATTCTTTCACTCTGAAGCCTCACTGCATATATCATCACATACATGTATAAATATTTACTTTAATTACTAATTCTCATACTTTCTCTTTCTTTTTCTTCTCTAACATTTTTCTCTTCATTACATAAGATCTATTAATATTATACTGATCTATTCAGTGTAGGCCTCTTATGCTATGAAGTGTAATAAAATAATCTTATAATCAGATACAGTCTGTTATAGTTATAAGTTATTCTTCTCTTTTTTATTTTTCTTAAAATTTAATTTCATCAAAGTTGTAAACATCATAGATATGAAACTTATACTACTTAAATAGCATGTAAAAATAGTTAAATCAGATTTTAATATTTTTAATATTTGTATTTAATAGTTATTTCAAATTTATTGACTTTTGCTTTATTTTTTTATACTTAAATAAATGTTTAATAAATCTGTATATTTATATTTCACTGACTTTTAAAAGAAAGATAGTAAAATCTATATAATAATATTTAAGAATTAAATTCATGAAATCTTGAATATGTTTAGCTGTGAAGAAGTAATTTTTTTCATCTAGTAGCTTGATTTATTATTTAATTATATTCTTCTAACTCTTATTTCATCTTTTATTAACTAATATCTTCACAGTATTTGAATTTCTTTCATTGATATGTGCTTGAAAATGTTGATAGAAGACATTAAATTCTTATAAAAGAGATAATATTTTAAGTTTTGAATTTTTTTAATAGACAGTTATGACTTGTTAAATACACTCTTCAATATTTTCATCTTTATTCAACATTGTGATAATTATTAATTAAATTAAATTAATGAAGATTAAGAATTTACAAGATTTTTATCATTTCAGTGTTTTTATTGTTTTGGTGTGACACACTCACTAGAGGTGAGTGAGTAAGCAGCGGCACGATTAATATCTATTTTATCTATGTATCTAAGCAACAACTCCATCCTTCTTCAGTTGCGCAATCTCGTTCTCCCCAAGATCCACGAGATCTCGAAGGACCTCGTCGCTATGCTGGCCCAGGGTCGGGGGGGGTGTTCTAACACCAGGCTTGGCATCAGAATACTTGATGGGCGTGTTGACAAGTTTCATAGGTCCGCAGGTTGGATGGTCTACCTCTACAACCATATCTCGGGCCAGCACTGTTTATTCATATCAAGAATTAGAGACCGGATATCATAATAGTTTTCATTTTATTAAGTAAAGGAAAGAAAAGCCGAGGTGCTGAAAACATACCATGTGAATGGTTAAGGGTCCCCTGGATATCATTGATAGCGGAGTATGGCATGCCGCTACCTTCGAGTATCTCAAGCCACTCCTGAGTAGTCCTCTGCCTTGTTCTGTCTTCGATCATCTTATCCAAGACATCTCTATTCTTAACTCGAAGGTTGTTTCTGACAAAACGCTCGTCTGCCTTCCATTCTGGCTGGCCTAGTCTGTCACATAACACACCAAAGAGCTTGTCATTTCCGCCTCCAAGAAGAATATCACCGTCTTTCGTTTTATATGCACGATACGGTACGATAGAAGCTACAAGGGTAAATCTCAGCCTCAGTATGGATGTGTGGTTAACAAAGCGGGGGAAGTATAAAATAGTACTTACGATGAGCAGTTCCCCATCGGCCAGAATCTTTTTCACCGCTGATTAATGCAGAACTTGCCAGATTCGATAACGTGGCGACCTGACAATCACTCAAACACGCATCGATATGTTGGCCTTTCCCAGTTCTCGCTCGGCCCAGCAATGCTGCCATAATAGCATTAGATGTATAAAGTCCCGTGGTTAGATCCGTAACGGCGACACCAACTTTCACTGGAGGTCCGTCGCGAGAACCAGTGATATGCATCAAGCCCATCTCAGCCTCAACCATGACGTCGTATCCTGCCCGTTGGCTATAGGGACCAGTCTGCCCATACCCGGTAATACTTGCGTATATCAACTTCGGGTTAATAGCTTTCACAGTATCGTAGTCCATTTTGTATTTCTTCAGTGATCCGGGGATATAGTTCTCCACCAGAACGTCACACTCTTTTACAAGCTTATGGAGGATTTCGACGCCGGAAGGATGGGCGAAGGATAGTCCGAGAGATTTCTTGTTGCGGTTTACCTATATGCCGGGTGGGTCAGTCGGACCGAACATATTGGTTTCCATTTGTTCAAAACAGCCTGTGGCTATGAGCTTTTTTTTAGCAATACCGATAGATAATATGCGCTCTCTCCCGGTCCCTCTTTGGTGCCGTCCTTATATTTGGCGAAAGGGGGTCCCCAAGCCCTGGTGTCATCGCCGCGGACTGGATGCTCAATCTTGATGATTTCCGCACTACATGTATAGTAATGTGTTAACACGTTACAGCCAATAATGTATTGACAGTCCTGAGAATGTCAAACTGAAATTACTCCGCCAGATTCTTGCTCCGGAGGTGTAGTTACGTACCCTAAATCCCCAAGAATTTGAGTGCAGTATGGCTAGCAAACGAGAGCGTCAGAGAAGCTGTCAGCCCGCCGAAAATCTCCAGATAACTCATAAACAACTGGAAACATCGACTTACGCCCGCAAGAACTCTTGACATATCCAGAACGCGGATTCCGGCAAGTGGGAGGTTTTCGGCATTCTGGGTGGATGCCGTCGCGGTGGTTGCGAAGCTCCGCCATTTAGCCGGGGCAGTAGCCAAGGTATGGCTCCTTGAGGGCAAAGGGTTGGATCTCGTCACAATGCTTCTCAAAGTCAGATACGACTTCATCGTGTAAGTATAGGGAGCGTGCAGATCAACCCACAAGAAAACCTGAGTTGGTAGAAGTTCATGGCGCAAGGTTTCTACTTTTCTAAACTACTTTGTCCTTTCGGTATAGCGGAGCACCAACATTGCATGCTGCGTAGGGGGGCCCAAGTAAACTCGGTGCCGAACCGAACCGATTGTCCCGTGAAAGGCTAAGCCCAGCAATTGGCAGCGGACTCGGTATTGCCGGTAAAATCAACAACAGCCGAAATAAATAGCAGAGACCTGCCAGGCGATACTACGGCACGCCAAAAATCCAAACGGGGCTTGATTCATTTGTGAAGATATTAATTAAAGCATATTGCCATGTTTACCGGCTTGGTTGAGAAGATCGGCTGTAAGTAAGCTGCTATTTGATGCCACCCCGCTGCGGCCATCTTGCACACCGCTAACACTCCCCCAACAGCGGTCACGTCGCTAGAAGCTCAGGATGAGACAGCTAGGGGAGGCGGGGGGACGTCTCTGACCATTTCCAATTGCGAGGAAATACTTACGGACTGCCATCTGGGCGACAGCATATGCGTCAACGGTATGTTGCACATTTAGTGACCCCGCTTCATAAAAATAGCTGCAGTGGAGCCTTCCCTAAAAGTTCACAGGAACATGCCTCACCGTAACCGCCTTCGACAAATCTTCCTTTAAGGTCGGCGTCGCTCCTGAAACCTTGCGCCGCACGAATCTGGGCTCTCTCACAAAGGGCTCTGGCGTCAATCTTGAACGTTCTGTCACTGCCTCAACACGCATGGGCGGCCACTTCGTCCAAGGCCATGTCGACACCATCGCAAAAATTCTATCTGTCACTCCAGATGGCAATGCGCTGACCTTCCGCCTTCAGCCACGGGACAAGAGCGTGTTGAGATATATTGTTGAGAAGGGATATGTTACATTGGACGGCGCAAGTTTAACGGTGACCAAAGTGGTGGATGGTGAAGAGGGATGGTTTGAGATTATGTTGATTGCTTATACCCAAGAGAAGATTGTGACAGCTAAGAAGCAGCCGGGGGAGGATGTTAATGTTGAAATTGATATCGTTGGTAAGTACGTTGAGAAGAGCGTTCAATGCTACTTTGAAGGACAGGGAGGTGGGAGCAACTCTGCTATATTGGAGAAGATGGTAGGGAGGCTGGTGGAAGAAAAGCTACGGGCTTCAACATCTTAGGATGGTATGATCTTGACCATACTATGAAAAGTTATATCCACTCGTGTACTTGCGTAAATCTGTCGCATCAGGTAACATTGAAATTTCACCATACCCAGCATTGAACAAATTTGAACAGTGCCTGAATTGAAGTGCAAGACCAGAAGGGAAAATGGATCGAGTTAATACTAAGATATGTCAATCAATCAAGATCATGAAAATTAATCAGAGCAACATTATTTTGTCTATTTCGGGTAAAAAGCCCGCAACTTTATTGAAGACCTCCCTTGGAACTCCTAATATTTCCCCCTATAAGTCCTAAAATGTGAATGCAAAGAAAGAGAGCAAAAAGGCGTATTTAAAATAGGCAGCAGAGGCCCCATAAAGCGAGACACATAGACTTCTAATCATCGGCAGGTGCGTCTTCCATCTCTTCATCAAGATCATCGAAATCCTCGCTATCCCAATCCTCATCGATATCCTCATCCTCCCCCTCAACCCCGCCATCTTTATCTGCATCCTTTGCGCCCTTGCCCCTTTCTTTCCGCTTCCTTTCAACATTTTCCTTTTGTTCTTTTCGTCTCTGTTCCTTCTCTCTGCGTTTCTTCTCCCAGGCCTCATCCAACTGTTTAGTCTCTGCCTCTGTCTTGGTGAGAACATGATGCCATAAGACTTTGCCGCCACACAATCCCTCTTCGACTTTGGTCAGTTTCAATTTCATCCGCGGACCCAATTCCACTAGTTTTACCGCCCTCTTTTCGACGCTTGGATCCGATTGTGTCGATGACTTCCTTTCTCCCGCCTTCATTCGTTGTAATTCACGCTTATTCAGGACTTTTTTGGCTGTGGCCTCCATTACTTCAACTTCAGCGTCGGTGTCGAGCTCAGTTTCACTAGCAGACGTATAACCGGCGGCTGATGGGTCTAGGAGATAATCTGCCACATCATCTAATTTTCCAAGGTTTGGGAGAGCTCCGGCCTTTCGATCCCTACGTCGTTGTTCCTTCGGATCAAGGCGCCGTATCCGTTTCGGTATGCCAGTCCTCTTGGTGGTGATGGCATAATGGCGGAGATTTATGATATACGAGCCGTCCTCTGTTTGCTCTGGGGACAGCTCTCTATTTAACAACATGATGCGACGTATTGAGGATAATGGGGTGGTTTGGGGAGAGATTGGGGGGAAGAGAGACTGGAAAACAGTTGTCGTAAGAGATTCGAGGTGTTTAGGGACAGCCTTCGAGGAGGGATTTTCATCGTCTGTTTTCGAAGACATGAAGTTATTCATTACTAGTAATGGAGGAGTTAAATGGAGCTTGTCCGATCCCTTTGGATGTTTTAACGCCTTGATCACGTCTTTGCACAGCGAATAATTTTCAACTCTGAAGTGAAGGGTAGGTCCTCGGGGAGCAAGGGCAAGGCGAAAGTTTGTATTTCCTGTACTGGACCTTGAGAATAAAAGTAGATGTGTTACCCCCAGAGGCCCTGTCATGACAGTGTAGTCCTTCAGTTTGTTCGATTTCCGTTCCTACCATTGAGGCGAATAGAGCATGTTAGCAGGAATAAAAACCACATATGTATTCATATCTGATAATTTAAAAAACTGCTCTTACCTTCAGTCGACTGGCTGTATCTGGCTCCATCATGGCCCGCACATCTTTCACCAGCTGGCTAACACTCGGTCCGATCTCCCCAGCACCGACCCGAATCACCATACTTCTTGGGGTCTTTTGCATCGACGCAGAGGCACTTCTAGGAGTGACATTGCTTGCATTTGCAGCACGGAGGTGAGTCCGCTTCTTCATGCGTCTTTTCGCCATGACTAAAACTCGTTCTTTAATGTAATGTGACTAGAGCCCAGTTTGTTTGTGTTTCGAAAGATATATTTCTTTTCGAAATTCTGCTAGTCCGGAACAATGATTTTGCGGGATATCAAAAAATATTTTGTGCGGAGAATCAACAAAACCGGCTTTTTTAATAACCACCAGCGAGGATTGGCTCTAGTTACATATATCCGTATTTATCTAGGGATTATTATTTATTGTCCAAAATGTCGGCTTTGAAGAAGCGGAAGCTGGCTCACGCAGCTCGGCCAGATCCCACTGAGAGCGACCCCGAATCCTCCAGTTCAGCAACCTCGCAACAATCGCAAGCATCAGGAGTCCATGAACAAGATGACAAAATCCCACAGGAACAGCAAGATGAGGCTGTGACGAAGTCTTTCAAAGATCTAGGCATTATTGATTCATTATGTGAAGCATGTGAAACTTTAGGCTACAAATCACCTACTCCCATCCAAGCAGAGTCAATCCCGCTCGCCCTCCAGGGGCGGGATCTTATCGGCCTGGCGGAGACGGGAAGCGGGAAGACGGCCGCATTTGCCTTGCCAATTCTACAAGGTAAATAAAAGAGAACAGCTCAATGAGCTACGCGCGCCCTCACAGTGACAGAACTCTGGCTAATTACCTCCCCCGTACAATAGCTCTAATGGAGAAGCCACAATCCCTATTCGGTCTCATACTGGCACCCACACGAGAACTAGCCTACCAAATATCAGGAGCCTTCGAGGCGCTTGGCTCTCTGATCTCGGTCCGGTGCGCTGTCATAGTTGGCGGAATGGACATGGTTCCTCAAGCAATCGCGCTGGGGAAGAAACCTCACATCGTCGTCGCGACACCAGGCCGTCTCCTTGACCACCTCGAAAACACTAAGGGCTTCTCCCTCCGCAACCTCAAATATCTCGTGATGGACGAAGCCGACAGGCTCCTCGACCTCGACTTCGGCCCTATACTCGACAAAATCCTCAAAGTACTCCCTCGCGAACGCCGCACATACCTCTTCTCCGCAACCATGAGCTCAAAAGTCGAATCCCTCCAGCGCGCCTCCCTCTCCAACCCTCTCCGCGTCTCCATCTCCAGCAGCAAATACCAAACCGTCTCCACCCTGCTCCAAAGTTACCTCTTCATTCCCCACAAATATAAAGACCTCTACCTCGTCTATCTCCTCAACGAATACGCCGGCCAATCCGCCATCGTCTTCACACGGACCGTCAATGAAACCCAACGCCTCGCTATCCTACTCCGCGCTCTCGGCTTCGGCGCCATCCCGCTCCACGGCCAGCTCTCCCAGTCCTCCCGCCTAGGCGCTCTTAGCAAATTCCGCTCGCGCAGTCGCGATATCCTTGTCGCCACGGACGTCGCCGCGCGCGGCCTTGACATCCCCTCCGTCGACGTGGTTCTCAACTTCGACCTACCCCCGGACAGCAAGACGTATATCCATCGCGTAGGCCGGACCGCGCGAGCGGGCAAGAGCGGACATGCCTTTAACATTGTGACGCAGTACGACCTTGAGGTGTGGCTGCGGATTGAAAATGCGCTGGGCAAGAAATTGGAGGAGTATAAAGTTGAGAAAGAGGAGGTGATGGTGCTGAGTGATAGGGTGGGCGAGGCGCAGCGACATGCGATTACGGAGATGAAGGATTTACATGAGAAGAGGGGGTCGAGGGGTGCTACATTGAGGGGAAGAAGGCCGGCGAAGGGCGCCAAGAGAGGAAGGGATGATATGGATCGCGAGGAAGGGTAGGGAGTGTGAGATTTAGATTTATGGTAATCATTATAATGAAAATGAATATCCTATGTGATGCCTATACAGTCTCTATTCCTTGTTATTGCTAGGTCATTGTGTAGCTTTCCTTGTGTTCGATATCTTTTTGGTGGAGTAATGCTTAAAATTTCGATTCGCAGGTGACCTAGACGAAAAATCAACCTTGACTGGCCACAGGCGCAGTATGGCTCGGTAAAATTGATGCCTGAGACTCCGTCTGGTTTATTCCATCTTCAATTTTCGTTCTCAATTTTTGTCTTGAATCCTTTGTCAAATGTTTTATCTCCCGTAAGTAAATAGCTCGACAACAGTATGGGGGAAAAAATGTCTGAATAGGAGACATGGATTCATCGAATCCAGAGCGTTTGAATTAAACCTAATTAAAATAATCAATTCGTCAGGGGTAGCTGTAGATTAGGAGTCTGATTTTAAGATACAGAAGAAAAAAGAAAAGAAACGAAAAGAACAGTCGCCATAAATATTCAATCCAGGCCCCAAGACATCCAAGAATGTGCTGGGTAATTTTTCCAGCATTTCTCTCGATTTCCTCATGTCGACTCTAATTGGCAGTAACACACATTCGAAGTACGGAACAAAGTGTGGTATCGCTCAACTGTCTATGTGTAAGGTTAGATGCGATTTTGGCTTTTGCGAAGGTTTTTGTCTCCTTTACAAATAGTCTTTTTAATCCCTCTTTTTCTATTGTGGGGTTTAGACTATCTTCCCAGCATCTTGCACAGAGCTTGCGACCCGGGTAGCCAGATCGTCAGCCTCAGACCGAGTCGCAGCTTCAGCATACACTCGAACTGCATCCTCGGTTCCACTAGCACGGGCAAAACTCCGACCCCTGTTATATCGTGATTGGAGAGCGTCGATCCGCGCTTGCAGGCCAGCTGGCGATTCAAGCTTCCGCTCCGCATCGACGGTTTTGAATATTGACCGATTAGCCACCTCAATGCGAACGAGGCGTGATGGGAGGTCAGTGTATGTTGATATCCATTCCTTAAGGCCCCAACTTTTGTGGGCAAGGATCACTTCGACAAGGAGTAAGTCCGCTAACGCATCGCCGACTGCTTGGTTTATCAAGTCGGTTAGACCAATAAGGCTTTCCAGAGCGTACTGTTGTGCCGGGGACTGGGGTTCAGCGGATCTGATGGTCTTGAGCGCATGTTCTGAGAAAGTTACGGTTCCGTGTCCGTTGGCTTCAAAGTAGACTCCCACGTCAAACCTCAACGCGGCATGGTGGAGATGCTTTACGCCGGTTGGGGTGCAAATGACTGGTAGTTTGAGGACTTTCTCTATATAGTCTGTACTCGAGCCGTTTGCATAGGCCGTTTGAACAACGCCAATCTTGAGTTTATGTCCTATTCCGGCATTCTTTGTTAAGTCTCCAATAAAGGAAGCCGCGAGTGTTGCGATTCGGTCACCGTCAAGGAGTTTGAAAACATTGCCAGTGTCAAGATAATAGTAAACTAGTCGATCTGCGTCACCATCAAATGAAGCGCAGCGGTCATGGATTGATGCTTTAGAAGATGGTGGGGCACGTTGTTTTGTTTTCACATAATCTGCGCCGCACTGCATGAATTCTCATCGTCAGCCAAAAGTACAAACGAAAAGGCGGGATTTGGGATGTATATTTTACCTCATGATTCAGGCTATCAGGATTGATCACATTGTCGTTAACAATATTGATATCCACCCCGCCTTGCTGACCATTGGGCAAATACTTCATCAGCTCTCTAAGTTTAGGGCCTCCAACGCCATTAGCGCAGTCAACAGTCACTGGCCCGTTAATGGTTCGTCCCTTCATCACTTTTTTGAATGCCCCGCTGAGTTTCTGGTAATATCCCTGCTCGGTAGGTTCGCCATATTCATAGGGCGTCCCCAAGGTATTCTTGCAGCGGACAATATAATGAAGCTGGGGAGTGGTCAGATATTTGAAATCTTCAAACTCGACTTCGGATGCTCTAAGAGCAGCAGACATCACCCCCACGAGGCGGGAGCCTGAAGCACGAGTATCCCGGGCGAAGACCACGCGAGCAGGGTTCTCCATCTTAATTTCAATCTCGCTGATAAGGCTGTTGTACACGTCTCCCAAAGTCTCGAGGGGTGAATTTGCCAATCGGGTTGCGTATTTTTCCCAATCAGCCTAAAAAGCAGTGGATAAATAATGAATAAGCCGACAGCTCTACAAGGAAACGTAATTGGGTACAACACCTACCTCCAGCATCTCGCCCTGAAAACATGAATTTGTCAGTATTTCTGGACCGCCTTTAAAACATGAGATGAACGACGACGTACCATTGGATCTACAAGTTTGATGCCATTGTCCTCCGCGGGGTTGTGACTGGCGGTGATCATAACGCCAATATATTGGCCATTCAATTTTCTTGAGCGAAGTCCAGCTAAAAGCCCGACGGCGAAAACAACGGTGTTGAGGATATCCCTGAATCGTCACAGTAATGTGAGAAGCGTTCTAACTTGCCCATCTGCGCTGCGGAGAGATAGAAAATACGAAAGGAAGTTTAAAAATTTAAAATTAGGGAGAGTCAAAAGTGAGTCGAAAGTGACTCGAAAGTGAACAATTATAGACCATCGGGGGCTCTTACGCTTTCATCCGGAACTATAAGGGGAATTTCCAGTCAGAATACCATCTCCATAGAAGCTGCTGCAAGGCTGAAACCGGCAACTTACCCCAGCTGTGCCATACTCGAACACCTTGCCGTCAGGCTTGGTGTACGCAGCAGCAGCATCGACAATTGCTTGTTTGACCATTGAAGACGCCATGGTGACTGAAGGATAAAGAGTGATATGCTAGGCCACGGCTGGTGGGTGGGAACGAGGGGCTTTATAGGGCCAGCAAGGGAGGGGAGGAGGGATGCGGGCATGACTTAGTGAGAGTTACTAGTGGGCTCGTGAGTCGTTGGGTTGGTGCGATACGGCTGCTGAGGAACGCTTGGGCTGCCAAGACCGATGTCAGATGTTGCGTTGGCGCCAAGGACGCAGTTTGCTTTGTTTGGCTGTGCGCCAGGATGTGAGACCTTAGGAGATAAAACTGTGCAGCAACCTTGGGAGCCTTCTTGAGGGGTAAGTATAAAAGTAAAAGGTCGAAATCCAGTCCAATTGAACTTCCAAAAGAATGATATATCTAATGTAATAACTAGAGTCCGCTGAAAATATATTCATATATCCCCCAATATAAAAATCTATATGCCTCCAGTAATATTTCCTAACCCAAATAGAGCTTACATCAGAAGTTGAATATGGATATAATTCAAGCTTTAACCCGCTCTCCAGCAATGTCATCCTGAGCATCCCTGACAAGGAACCTAGGTTTTAAAATAATCAACTGATTAGGGAACGCAATACAAACTTGCCAAGTACTAAAAAGAGGATGTTGACAAACTTACGAATACCACCAAGCAGTAGGCACTACAGTCCCTAAATGCCACAGACTATGCGCGTCGATAAGTCCATACAAAGGCGGAAAGTCCAACAGCTCCAGACTCATAGCTACGATAATCCACGCAACTATCATACCTGGCCATGCCGTCCACGATTTCATGTATTTCCGGTATCGCGAGATACTAAACCACGTCCACAGGAAATTCTGCACAATCCCCACTGCCACATTTGCCGCCATGTTATACGTATAATTCCACGACCAGAAGCTCAGGTAGGAGACATGCGCAATGTACAATCCCGTACAGATGAGCGTCCAGTACCGGAGCAGCGTCGGCTTGTAACGGGGACGTGTCTGGTCGAGGCGGAGTATTCGAACAACAGACAGATATAACCCATACATCACACTTGCACCCGCACCGTAGTAATCGAGCTTTTCAGTCAGGGGCAGATCACGGGTATGGAAAACCATGCTGAATACCCAGCTGGCCAAGCCGAAGTATCCAAAGGCGAGGTAGAACCTGCGCAACGGATACGATGGTGGTATCGACTCTCGAACCCGCGACATACCATGGTGATGGGCGAGGAGATTCATGAAGGAGAAGATAACGGAGAAAGCTTCCTGCATGCCTAGTGTTCGGTAGAAGGGCCATTTTCCGTGGAATTGGACAACGGGGTCCAGCATCGGAGGGTCGCGGTTAACGCGTCGGTCCGTAATGATGTGTTGACATGTGTAGTCACATTCCGCTGGACAGTCCCAGAGTAAGAGGCGGAGGTGGAGGGCTTGAAAACACCAAAGTCAGGTTTGGCACAGAGAATGAAGATTGTTAAGGTGCGCGAAAAGGAGCCTATTCTTACGTATAGATGTCTTTCCACTACCGCAATTTTCAGTCTTGCATATCTACTTCGCGCATCAACCGTCAATTGTTTATGGTCCAATTCCCGTTTCAGGTGTGTCTCCTGGATGGAAAACGGCTTACCATTACGCATTCCTTGAAATCTGGGAGCATATCCCCCAAAGACGCGGTAGACCGGCTAATTAAAAATGCCAAAATTGTAAATACAAGGAATCGCCAGTACAATGGCCTCCCACTCATCGTGGAAGCCATGTTTGTTACACGTACTGCCTGTGTCGCGGGTGGGTAATGAGGCAAGCTCCATAGGCGGCCAGTTGGGGCAGATTGGCGGGCGATGTCAAATGTGTCAGCCGGAAGGGAAGACAGGCACGACGAGCTGCATTAAATTAAGACCATAAAATACTATTCAAACTCACCAGCTTTTGAGAATCCGAAGGGAAGAAAATAAAAAGATAAGAAAAAAAAGTTTCGTGGTATGGACAATGTGATAATCGAAATCACGACCTTTCGCATGCGGGTCTAAGTGCAAAGCGAACGCTCTACCAACTGAGCTAATTGCCCAGCAGATGGGAATGACCAGGCATTTTGACCATAAAGAGCTTTGTACATGTACCCAGGGCATAGGGCTATCCGGATCTAACCCTAAACCTAATCCCTGTCCTCTCTGACGAATCAGACCCGTTTGCCAAGCCTCATTCATCACGCTAGTCTGTTCTAGTCTAGAGATCGCAGTGAGCCTCTTCTGAAAATCCAAAAACCTTGGCAGTCTCCCGTATTTATTCCTTGGGCATCTAGCGAGTTTTCTTGCCTCGACTTCTATCAGGCTCCCTCTGCCTGACTTCCTTATACTTCGCCTCCTTAAGCTTCTTTTTTTTTACCTTTGGAGCATTTTTTTTCTTTTAAACTACCCTCTATCCTACAGTATATCATGAACGGAGCTTCGAATCAAATGGACATCACATCCTCAACCCCTCAGCCATCGTCCAGCGCGGACAGAATGGCTGGCATGGACCACGCAGAGGTTCGCTATTTTACGAGGTATATATATTCCTAGTCCTGAATTCATTTCTCACGAGCGTTAATCTAATCTATTCTATGCTAGTTACGACCACCATGGTAAATTGACCTAACTGTCTGCATCACCCCTCTTCTCGAATGCACAGCTGACAAAACAAAACCAACGGGATAGGTATTCACGAGGAGATGCTTGTAAGTGATATTATGCTCCAATAAATATGTGTGCTGCTATTGGTTTTTTAAAGACAACGAAATGGGAACAGATACTAATCTTGTATTTCCTTATATATAGAAAGACGAGGTTCGCACACGATCATACAGAGATGCCATTTACCAAAACCGTCATCTTTTTAAAGATAAGGTAGTGCTTGATGTCGGATGCGGAACCGGGATTCTCAGCATGTATGTTGTTTAAAAAAAAAAAAAAGAAAAGAAAAGAAAAGAAAAGAAAGGAAAAGAAAAGAAAAAAGAAAAAAGAAAAAAAACCGTCCAACGCAATACCTTTCAGAAAATGAATTCTAATACGTCCTCTTTCCCCTAGGTTTGCCGTTCGTGCAGGAGCCAAACACGTTATCGGCGTGGACATGTCTTCCATCATTGAAAAGGCCCGCCAGATCGTGGCAGTAAATGGCATGGCAGACAAGATTACCCTTCTTCAGGGCAAGATGGAAGAAGTGCAACTTCCCTACCCAAAAGTTGATATCATTATATCCGAATGGATGGGATATTTCCTTCTGTACGAGTCCATGCTTGACACCGTTCTCTATGCTCGTGACAACTATCTTGTCCCCGATGGCAAGATTTTCCCGGACAAAGCTACTGTCTACCTCGCCGGAATTGAGGATGGCGAATACAAGGACGATAAAATCGGATGCACGTTTTCCCCTCAAAAGCCCTGCACTGAGTCCCTAGTTCCTACCCCCCTCCCCTTTCATGCACATCACAGGTCAATTGCTAATTTTCTTGTAGTTTGGGACAATGTCTGGGGATTCAATTACTCACCTATGAAAGATGTGGCGCTGACTGAGCCTCTTGTGGACACTGTCGAGCTAAAGGCTCTTGTCACCGATCCCTGCCCGGTCCTCACCATTGATCTATACACAGTCACCACAGCCGATCTTGCATTCACTGTTCCCTTCAGACTCACCGCAAAACGCAACGATTTCATCCACGCCATCATTGCCTGGTTCGATATCGATTTCACCGCTTGCCACAAAAAGATTCGCTTCTCCACCGGACCTCATGCGAAGTACACCCACTGGAAGCAAACCGTGTTCTACATTCGCGAAGTCCTCACCATTGAGGAAAATGAAACAGTTGCAGGATTCCTAGAGAATAAACCTAACGAGAAAAACAAGCGGGATCTCGATATTAAGATCTCGTACACTTTTGAGACGGAGGATGAGACACGTGCTGCCCAGGGCAGCTGTGAGTATAAAATGTATCGCATCCCACATTTCTCTTTCGCCCCCATCTATCAAACAGAAATTATGAGCCAATCAGGATACTAATTCTGGTCTCAGGTGTTAAACATACGACGTACTTACCACGAAGACTCACAACCTAAGTTTCTGCCATTCTAAGAATTTATGCTCTGCATATCATCTTGCGTTGTTTTCTTTTTTTTCGTTTAATTTTTCTGAAACTTTTCCCGCTTTTCCTCTTCCTCTTTCCTTGCTCTATTATCCGCTCAGCCCTGAATATGGAATGGATTGCAGCAGACAGCGTAACGCCACGTTGCATGCGTGTCTCTATGATCTGGCGAGATTGCCAAGAGAGGTAAACTTTATAAGAAACAGGAAAGATAGAAAGAACCAGAGAAAAAGGGCTGCAGGCGTTTTGGGGGAAATGGCATAATGTGGCGTCCGATTATATGGAACAAATGATATATATAGGATACGATTTCTAAAGCTCCTCGATTTGTTAGAGATACCCCGAGTTGATGCTTAATCTCACTACTTCATTCAGCAACTTTGGTCTTGTAGATGTCCCTGTCGGGAATCTTCTTCCTTTTTACTTTGTCATTTGATGGTTCGTGAGGCAGTAAAAGTAACCGATGTCGAGACGCACCTCTCCACAACCTCGGCATAATTTCTAAGCCACGGCTTGCCGAAGAGCTCAACATTACCTATTTAATAAAAGGCCTAAATAGAGACCTCGTAGATTCTCTTCCTTTTGGTTGTAATACTATTATTATAAATCGCAAATCCACCGCCTATTATTGATTATTAGTCGCCCACTTTTCATATTATTACAATCAAATATTCATATCCTAAACATCATAATGAGCGGACCCGGAGCAGGCCATAAGTTCCCGAGCCAGGATGTGAGCTGGACGAAGAGAGATGTCCTGCTCTTCGCAAATAGTATTGGAGCGACAGCGGACGAACTTCATTTCCTCTACGTATGTTTGTGTCTATCCATATAATTCTTGTCGGAAGAAAGAAACAAGAGATGAAGAGGGTTTGCCCTGGTTTGTTACTAACATCTCTCTTTCCAATAGGAGCTACATCCAAACTTCACCGTGTTCCCAACATACCCTATTATCCTCCGTATGTCTCAATGCCACCAAAAAAAAAAAAAAGAAAAGAAAAGAAAAAAAGCGGCAAGGGCGCTCCCAGCGGACTTTGAAAAATGAATAACTAATATAATAATTAACTACAGCTTTCAAACTCACAAACCAAGAGGTAACCGACTTCTACGCCCAAAAAACCGGCAATGTCATCCCCGGCGTGCCCACCTTCGACACCCGCCGCGTCGTCGACGGACAGCGCAAAATGACTTTCCTCAAGCCCCTACCTGTCTCCAGCGAGGGGCGCAAGTTTGAACTGCGAAGCTCGGTTGTTGGTGTCTATGATAAGGGCAAGGCGGGCTCTGTTGTCGAGACGGAGCAGCAAATTGTCGATAAAGAGACCGGGGAGATCTATACCAAGGCTGTTGGGAGTGGGTTTTTCGTTGGACAGGGGAATTGGGGTGGGCCAAAAGGTGAATAAATTAAATCCCCCGCCTCTTTGACTTTGGTAACGCGCCGGAGGCCGGAGGGATGTTAAAAGGGACTTGAGGTTGCATGAATATGTACAACTCGTGAGCTGATGGCTAATAATTCGTGTCTTTGGCACTGGTACAGGTCCGTCTACGGTGAACTATCCCCCTCCACAGGGAAAGAAGCCAGATGTCGTCTATGAATATCAGACAGATGACAATACAGCGTTGCTCTACCGGTAAGCTACGTCCAATAATTACCTCTTGATATTTCTCTCCTGGGAAGGAGATCGCCTGTATCGTGACAATTCCTAACTCTGCGATTTTTATTTTTTTTAAATGCATAGACTGAATGGAGACTATAACCCTTTGCACGCCACACCGGAGCCGGGACAGAAAATGGGTTTCGGCGGTGTCATTATCCACGGCCTTTTCAGCTGGAACATGGCAGCGCACGCTATCCTGAAGACATTGGGCGGTAGCGACCCGAAGAATCTCAAAGAGTTCCAGGCCCGATTTGCGTCCCCAGTGATCCCCGGTGTTAAGCTGATCACTGAGATTTGGAGGACCGGGAAGCTTGAAGGTGGATTTGAAGAAGTTGTGTTTGTGGTCAAGAATGATAAGGGCAAGGTTGTATTGAGCAATGGCCGGGCGCTGGTCAATGTTGTTGGTGGGAAGAGTAAGCTATGAGGTTTAGCATGTGACTCAAAGGCCGGCTGTTTGTCAGATATATCAGGAAACTCCCTGCTGTCCCTATGTATTATTTTGATTAAGCTATTGGTTGGGTGTCTATCCATGATTCAGCCAGACGGGCAACGATTTATCTCAGCAATTGGTTGCTATCTAGTGTGGGCTATATGCTTGGCGCGGGGCGCTAGTCCGTACTAGGAAGCCTAGGGCTCCCACACCCCCTCGGACTAGCTACCGTACTGGCTTATATCCTTCTATCCTTCTCAAATCATTCAAATCCGCAATAAAAATTAATTCCAAAAAGCAGCACCTAGTTTCCTTATCAGGACTAGGCCTGATACATGAATATACCGCAAAGTCATGCTCAAATCCATAAAATCCCTTGTATCCCTTGTATCATTATTTCCATCGTATCATTTGTCATATCCGTTGTATCCCTCATTATTCATATCCATCGTGTCAATCGTATTCATCCGTCATATCATATCTATCATGTCATTCATATCCTTTCATATCTGTTGTATCCGTCATATCAATTCAGCTAGGTGTAATGACAGTTGTGTTGACAGAGAATGAGAGTTTCCACCCAACTTTTGGATGAGTATTTCCATCAATATATCCTGTTTCTTCATGTATGCCATCATTCTCATCATCAATTCATTCATTTGACCTAGTTGACCCCTAGGCCCAGGGGTAGGCGTTTCTTGCCCATATTCGCTCTCGTTCTCATTGTTGTTCATATTGCTTGTGTTCTTGGAGTCGTACCCACCCTTGAATCAGTTGTTTTCAATCTTTTCCCCCGCGATCAAAGCTCCCTTGGCTCCTCGTCAGGATTCCTTTTTGAATCTTTTGTTTTCCCCGCGATCAAAGCTCCCTTGGCCTCTCATCAGGATCCAGCAGTGATATAGGAGATGCCACTCCTTTTCCCGTGATCAGGGCTTCCTTTGCCCTTCGTCGGGACCCCTTGTTGAATCTTTTCAATTTCCCCGCGATCGAAGCTCCCTTGGCCTCTAATCAGGATTCCTTGTTGAATCTTTTCGTTTTCCCCGCGATCGAAGCTCCCTTGGCCTCTCATCAGGACCCTTCTGCAGTTCAGCGATGCAGCTCAGGAGATGTTTTATACCTCAGATAAATGAAAAAGTAGTAGTAGTGGAAGGTTATTAAAAACAAAACAAGCAATCCGGGCCATAACCTGTTGGACGTCTGAGTGGTTGTATTGGTTGCTATCTAGTGTGGGCTATATGCTTGGTGCGAGGCGCTAGTCTGTACTAGGAAGCAGTTTTAACATTTAATAATTAGTCACTCTCACAGCTAAACCCAAATAGATCAAAAATACAAATCTGCTGTAAGTTACAGTGTCTGAGAAAGAACAGTTTCAGTTTGTTAGCAACACAGGAATGATTTGCTCTATATCTCAATCATGAGTGAGAATAGTAACTTAACTTTATCTATTTATTATTTCTATATTATCTTGAGCTCTAGAGAAATCATATTTTTTCCTTTCCTCTATTTCTTATATATGAAGTATCATTTCAAAGTAGATTTACACTTATAACAAGAGAATGAAATATAATTATTTTTAACAGTAACTTAAACATTTATATTAAATATCATGTTTTTTAAAATATTAAATATATATTTCTATTCTTCTTCTCTATAGCTAATAGCTATAATCTAAAATAGTTTACAAATTTTAAAAATGTATAATGAATGAGAAATTGAATTTTAATTTTTTCACAGATGTCACTCTGAGCACATGACTTAGTGAATGTTTCTGTGCAGTACAGTACAGAAGTATCCATCAATTGTATAAAACAAATATTTCAGCTTCAATGCCCCTAATATTGTTCTGAAAGTTTTCCCCGCCATGTGGAGTTGACAGCACCAAGAGAACTAAATACTTCCAGCCTCGGCAAAAACGAAAACCAATGTGTCCCAAAGCAAACCACCATCTGCTGTTACCACTCTTCAACAAATAATGAGTGAGATACACCATCTATTACATACGGAAGCAATCATTGGTAACACGATATCAGCCATGAAATCTTCACCTTTCGCATCTGTCAAAAGAGCCGCTCAGGTTGTACGCGAAAGGTGGGATCTATTTTTAGCCTCTTCCCTGCAGTAGATGCTAATGAAGTGAAAGCTAACAATAATGGAAATCAAGGGCTCCGGGCAGTAGCTTTGTATATCAAGCAGGGAGACTACAACCAGTAAGTGCACATGAATGCGTTTCCTACATGTTTGTATCCGTCCGATACGCCCTGGATAGACTGCCGTACCTGGCCAATAAAGGGTCTGGAATGCAGAAAGCACCGCCAACCTATAAATTTTCCTGCTGACGCTCCTTTTAAGGAACTAGCACCATGGTCTGCCAGTAAGGCTCGACCCTATTCTCTTCACTTTTCTGGTCGAGTTGGTTCTCGCAAAGAGCCTGCTGCGCTGTTTTCGTCCTTGGCCGTCAACCATCACCCGGCAGCGCTCGCCGGAACTGAGAAAAGTTCCAGCACTGTGAACGAGCAGGGATATGTTCCTGTCTCTGTTGACCTTCCTGGAGGAGTTACGGGCAAGTGGTAAGCCGATCAGATCATTTGCTATCGTTTCATTCAACCGGCATACTCCACTTCGTTAAAATCGTTATATTGATGGCTGTGGACGGTATTTATCTAGGCCGAGTCTATGGTTGAGGTTTGTGCCCTATACTGTAACATCAGGGGTGTGCATGTAATACTATATACTCACCAACACACAGAGACAACTGCCAGTGCAAGAAATGCATTCACCCTGACACGAGACAGCGGCTTGTGGACACATTTTCGGTAACGGCACCTAACCTCTAGTTAAGAACGTTTGTATTTTGTTCTGCAACAGCCTAACCGTATGGACCATTAGATACCCGCGGATATTCAACCATCATCGGTGAGAAAGTTGGACAATCATTTGGAGATTGAATGTAAGGCAATGATATTCATTTCCTACATGCTTCTCCCATGCTTACCTCCCTTCTAGGGGCAAATGATGGCCATACTAGCACGTATAGCTATAACTGGTTATCAAAACACCATCTTAGCCAGGGTAGCTCTGAACTAGCCGCTGTTAAGTTCGGGTATTGGGAAGCCCATCTACCATTTTGTTTTTGTTTCTTGGTGAAACCTCAATAATAACACATTTGCCAGGTCTGAGAGACAATTCGTTTCCAATGACCCAAATACCTATCCAACTGTCTTGTATGACGAGGTGATGTCCTCAGAAGCTGGCGTTCGAAAATGGACAGATCAAATTGTTTGCCTACCTTATCTCGCCCACGAATGGTTTTTATACTAACGCTCTACCCTAAAAGTATCGATGGGGGTTTTCCTTTGTCAAGGAATCCCCGGCAACCCCTGAAGCTACGGAGCAGCTCCTGAAGCGGATAGCATTCATCAGGCCTACGCATTATGGTATGTTCTACGACCCAGCAACTCCCACGCGTAAAAAGTGAAACTAAAAACAACCATGGCAGGCGGATTTTGGGACTTCACGTCCGATCTTTCTCTGAAAGATATGGCCTACACAACCGAAGGTCTTGGTGGCCATACGGATACCACCTATTTTACGGATCCGGCAGGCCTCCAGATGTTCCACATGCTCTCACATACCAACGGTTCTGGTGGTGAATCACTGCTCGTTGATGGTTTTGAGGCTGCTAAGACACTCTACAAGGAGGATCCAGAGGCATATGGGGTACTAAAGGAATTTGGCGTCAGCGGCCATGCCAGTGGCAACGAACATGTCTGCATCCAACCGGCGCGCCCGTTCCCCGTCCTTAACCATCACCCGGTTACGCGAGAATTGTATCAGGTGCGATGGAATAATGAGGACAGGAGGCCCATTGTTAACGGGTCTCCAGAGGAAGTCAACAAATGGTACGCCGCAGCACGGAAATGGAATGAAATTATTACGCGGAAAGATATGGAACGTTGGTTCCAGCTGGATCCTGGCTCCCCAATGAGTAAGTCTTCTATAGCTATATCATGTGTTCAATATTACATCTTTCCACTCATAGATAATTCGCTAACCGGTACCCAGTATTCGACAACTGGAGAATGCTCCATGGACGAGCTCCTTTTTCGGGAAAGCGGAGGATATGCGGTGGCTACAGTGAGTCCTTCTTTTGTCTCCTGATTTAGTTTATGGCCTTTCCTTCGCTAGCGGAATGCTTGACCGATTGACACTCTACTAATACATTTTAATAGTTAATCATGACGATTTCATGTCACGATATTGGTTGCTTAGGGATGGGCGAGAAAAAGTATTGAATAGGATATAGTTCGTGGGTTATGATCAATACGGAATTACATATATAGGATCTTTCTTAAATAGAGTCTTCCTAGAAACAAATACCAAAGATATTGAAATACGTTAATAAATTACTTCTATTCGTACCTCCCCAAGCTCCGCTAGGCTTCACGTCACATGACCTAGTTAGGCAAGCAGCTTGCGTACCAAGGAAGTTAGTCCGGATTAGGAACCAGCTTGACCTCACCTGTGCAACCTAAGCTCTGGACATTACTGAGCATCATACAGCCAACTCTCCCTTCTGTTGTCAACGACTAGATCTTCTACACCCTCTCCGGTTCTCTAATTTCCCAGTAGCAACGCCTTTATACCCGATACAAATTTGTACTTTTCCCTACGCAACCGATCTTTCCATACCCCAACCGCCATCATGTCAACTCTAGAGGATCTTGATGACCTCGAGCGCGAAGACAAGGACAAGAAGAAGGACCAGGGCGATGATAACGGAAAAAAACAAGACCAGGATGGCGATGCTGAAATGAAAGATGCAGGAGCGGACAAGAAGAAGGAAGAGGAAGAAGACCTAATAGATGAAGAAATCCTGCGATCAAGTACCAGAGATATCATCAACAGACGGAAACTGCTGGAGAATGACATGCGAATCATGAAGAGCGAGTTCCAGCGTTTGACACATGAGCAGACTACGATGCAGGAGAAGATAAAGGATAATTTGGATAAGATTGAGAATAACCGGTATGTCTGCCTTTGTCACGCCTGCATTCAAATTCGAAAGCGAGCTGCTCCTTTGACTAATACCTATCATCTTTGCATTACTTTTATAGACAACTACCATATCTTGTAGGTAATGTCGTCGAGCTACTTGATCTTGACGTTGAGAAAGAGGCTGCGGAGGAGGGTGCCAATATTGACCTGGACGCCACTCGGGTTGGCAAATCTGCTGTTATAAAGACTTCGACCCGTCAAACTATCTTCCTTCCTCTCATCGGCCTCGTCGACCATGAAAAACTGAAACCCGGCGACCTCATTGGTGTTAATAAGGATTCATATCTCGTTTTGGATACTCTACCAGCCGAATATGACAGCCGGGTGAAAGCCATGGAGGTTGACGAGAAGCCGACAGAGAAGTATACCGATGTTGGAGGCTTGGATAAACAAATTGAGGAGCTTGTTGAGGCAGTGGTATGGCCAATGAAAGAGGCTGAGCGGTTTAAGAAGATCGGCATTAAAGCACCAAAAGGTTCGCCATCCATCAACGATCTTTTATTTTTTTTTGTTTTGCCGAACACATCATCAATATGCTCTTTACTAACTACTGGCTCGTCCTGAACAGGAGCTCTCATGTACGGCCCTCCCGGTACCGGCAAAACTCTTCTTGCCCGTGCCTGTGCCGCCCAAACAAACGCAACCTTCCTCAAACTCGCCGGTCCCCAGCTCGTCCAGATGTTCATCGGAGACGGCGCAAAACTTGTCCGTGACTGCTTTGCTCTGGCCAAGGAGAAGGCCCCCTCGATCATCTTCATCGACGAACTTGACGCCATAGGCACGAAACGTTTCGACTCGGAAAAGTCCGGTGACCGCGAAGTCCAACGAACCATGCTTGAACTCCTCAACCAACTGGACGGCTTCGCCTCCGACGACCGCGTCAAGGTCCTTGCTGCTACTAATCGTGTGGACGTACTTGATCCCGCTCTCTTGCGGTCCGGGCGCCTGGATCGCAAGATCGAATTCCCCCTCCCGAATGAAGAAGCGCGTGCCCAGATCTTACGTATCCACTCGCGTAAAATGGCTGTCGACGACGGTGTCAACTGGGCCGAACTGGCGCGGAGTACGGACGAGTTTGGCGGAGCGCAGTTGAAGGCTGTGTGTGTGGAAGCTGGAATGATTGCATTGCGCAAGGGGATGAATAAGGTTGGTCATGAACATTACGTCGACGCGATTGCGGAGGTGATGGCGAAGAAGAAAGATACTAGCACCGGGATTTACGTCTAATTATTTTAACCCCCCCTCTTTACCTCCAATTTCTCATTATTCCCTTGCTGTGAGCAAAAGCCTGCTCGCGCACTTTCTCTCTTTTCGGTGGTGCGTTTAAATTTGTATCATGCGTGTATGCGAATAGCAAAAATAAATACAGCATTGAAACCACATATTTTTAGACCGGGTTGGATCAAATCCTGGTGTTAGCTTTTTCAGCAACGGTTTCAATATTTTTTACGTTCTGCGATGAGTGTGATAATTTCTGTAACAGAATTAAAGGCCACCTGGTATTTTCACCAGTAATCTAGAGATGAATATGTATATGCTCTTTCCCAGCATATGCTCAGCTATTGGGCATGTTTACGTGGGTGGGCGCAGAAGGAGGATCATATTCTCGAAGGACAGCAGATGAAATAGTAAAAAAGAAAAAAAGAGAGAGAGAGCGTAATATCGAAAGTCCAAAGGATCAAGGCTGGCTTAGTTTCGAAGGGGAAGGGAGGAATGGAGAAGAGGAAATGAAAAGGTAAAACAGGGAGTAAATATAAGGGGGGTTATATAGTTGCCTTTTGAGATGAGAGTCAGATAAAAGTGAATAGGGGAAATTAGGAGACTAGGATGGATAACTAGGATGAATGAACCTCGCTCCTGAATAGGTGACTCTTTGTTACAGAGGGATACCTGACAACAATTCGGTATTCAAGGTTAATCGAAGACAGAAATAAAGGATAGGCACGAAATGCAGGACGAAATGGTCCTTCCTAGGTAAAAGCAGGGCATTTTAATCTACTATCTTAAAATTTGCTTTCTCCTAAAAAGAGAATTAAACATTAAACATTAACATAATCTCTCCTTCAAAATAGTTGCTCTTGCCTCACTACATCTATCGAGGTACTCCCAGTTTGAGCCCTCTCCCGTTCGACATGCGACCACCAGTCCTTCCCCAGTTTATATCCCCGGTTCCAGGCCCCATCACAAGTCTCTCTAGCAGTCCAAAACGGCTGCCCCGGCCAAGCGCTAGAGCCGACACTGAACCCAGTGGCAGCTTGGGAGTTACCCATCTGCATCGTTGGAGACATGGGTGCTGGTGTACGCGGAGATAATGGTTGACTCGATCTATGATTAGAATTGCTGCTTCCGGCACTGCCGCCGCCGCCCCAGGAGCCGAATAGAGATGAAGATGGGGAAGAAACAGTTGCCGTGTCATCATTCATGCTCGAGCCGGTGTTTCTTCTGTCGATAAGTAAAGGCGACGATGATGCTACTGCACCAGCTCCTACCGCTGCTAAGTATGCTAGGGTTTGATTTGAGGAGAGGAAATGGCGCCAGCTAATTAGACCGCCTTCGGCGTCTGAGCCGGGGATGTCGGGGGTCAGGGCAAAGCGGGGGGGTGCACCCGCACCTGTACCAGATGATGTGCAGACTCGACCCACGCGCAATGGAAGAGTAAATTCATGCACCGTGATACCACGTGGATCTCGTCTAGGTGGAGGAACAACCCCTTTTTTTTCCAACGGGCCTAATATGTCATATCTATCATCCGGACCTGGTTCGGGGGTCGGGTCGGAGAATGCGAGTAGGTCTGGTAGCTTGAGCGCTCCGGAGTGGTCACTAACAACAATCTTGATGCCCGTTTCACTGCTTTTAGCAGCCATATCGATGAGTGTTTGGCCACGTATGCGCGCTGACGTCAAGTTGTTTCCACTTGGAAGTGCTAAGGGCCGCTTCGGAATTGGACCATGCGAGCTTCGGGGAAGGGAATAGCGGTCTGCAGGCACCATGATCTGGCCGTTTCGCGTAGGCCGACAAACGGCCTGCAATGCCCCAAGGGGATCCATGTCATGAGGTGCACGGAGAGATTTCAGACATGGAAACCCCGAATTCAAGATACTCTGGGCCAGATGAGAGTTGGCTGTGTTGAACTTGCTGAGTGACGAGAGGCGCGGGAAGGATTGGAAATCGGTTAGAGAACCATTCGTATCTGGACATGGAACGTCCCAATGGAGATGCTTTAAGACTGGTGAAGCGAGTAATGGTTGGAATACCATCCCTCCATCAGAGAACGTCGGTGCAGTCTTCGTCTGGAAGATGCTGAAGCGTTCCAGTCTGCTCAAGGACGCAAAGATCTTAGAAATGATCAGGAGAGACCTGATATTTAGTTCTATTAACGCCAATGATTCTAGGGCGCGGGCCTCTGGGCGAGTTGCATAATGCGCTAGTCCATTTTCCGTCAATCCTGGTAGATTCTCAAGACGGAGGGATGTCAACGGAGGCAAAAATAATAATGTACGGTTGGTAAAATCATCTGCAGGGAAACCACAAACTGTCAGGTGACGAAGGGATGGCAGGAAGTTGAACATGCGTAAGAATACGCCATGTCCCAGCATACCACTTCCATCCAAAGAATGTACCATGAGTGTCTCGAGATTGGACCACGAAGCGTGGTAGTTGAGGAACTGGAAGACTTGTCCATTATCTAAAAGTTCGGAAGACTGGTTTTTTAACCGCTCGCCGATTTCAGGGTTCTCCGCAATGATCCACGCGTGTTCCTTAAGCTTCTTCCGCGTTGAAAGAGCATGCGTCAAGCGATCAAACTCGTGATTATAGGGCAGCGAAAGGCCAACCAAGCGTTCCAAGTTCGGGCACACCATCACTACTGATGCCACAAGGTCGCGATATTCCTGCGCGGTAATGCTTTGTTTGCTATTTCCACCCGTTGCCGTCTCCAGATCCGGTACCCTAAGTTCAAACACTGCATTGGCCAGCAATTTTCTTGATCTCAGCGATCGTCGCAACAGCCTTAATCTACTTCCTCTTTTCCATTTGTATTTCTTGAGTTGGGCCGGCGAATCGTTGCCTTGGATATATATTTTGTTATATCTAAAACGATTTAGTAATTGTCGATCCGTTATATGCTGGACCGTCTTACAGTTTACCCCTCACAGCTTTTTCCCAAGCTCTGCTAGTCAATGCTAGAGAATATAAATCTCGCATGTAACACGTTATACACCCCTCGTTATTGGGAGCCATGTGAGAATATTGCAGATGTGAGATGATACAGTCATAGACTTCCTGCGGCAACGGCCTTGAGAATGGTAGTTGTTCTTTGGAGCCTGCATTAGCGGGCTTGAACGAGCGGAAAATGAAGCTCCCAGAAGGGGCAGCAGCGGTAGGAGAGTATATTCTTGGAGTGTTCGTATTGGGATAATTATTATTTCGCGCATATTGCATCGAGGGAGCTCTGGGAGAATGGCTCCTGGGATGCACAGGGGTAGGAAAAGCGGGCGATGCCTGACGGCCGGGGACCACGCCTCGATATGGATCACCATTGTAGGCCATTGCCGTGGAAGCGGATGGTCTACTCGCAACGGCGTTCATTGCGTTCATTCAACACCACGGAAAGGGAGGAGATGGAGCGATGACGAAGCGATTGGGGAGGCATCAAAGGAAGTAGATTGTTTACTGATCACTGGAAACATAAACAATCAGGAGAGAAACAAACGCTTGCCCGCCAGAATTGACACGAGCTAACAGTGTAGACTCTAAAGAGGAGCAACAGCTCTAGTTTCGGTTTCTGGTGACGAGCGCTGTACGAATCTGACAAGCCTTGACGATCAACCCCACAAAACGGACGATCTTTTAAGTGAAATTCTTTCTACCATTCTCAAATAATTATATTGTTTAGCAAGCAACCAAAGGAATCCGAAATAGTTATAAGGAAATAGAAATAGTTAGGAAAAAAATATCTTCAGCAGTGAACAGCAAACTGACTTGTGGCACCCTCATTCGATCGTCCGCGTGCCCATCGATCGTTTCTGTACCAGCCGGCGAATTTATTTGGACAGGCTCGCGATAGGCCACTGCAGGGCCAAGGAAGAAATAGCTTCTCATTAGCGCTTTGGCTGCACTTTGGTCGCGAAGTTAAAAGAGCCACCAGCCACTGATAGCCAGTGGGATCGAAAGAGGGAAAAGGGGTTAACGACAGGATGTTGACCGTGGCCCGTGGCTGAGCTTGCCATGATGCCATCAACGCTCACATCGACGCGGGTTTTGATTCCCCATCAAGCGTCACGGTTTGATGTACGGAGTAGTGCATAGCTGCTACTTCATTTCCCTCTTTTTGGGCGTTTTTCCTTCTCAGCTCCTTTTGTGTTTGGGCAGAGCCCCAGAGCGTCCAAAGCTGGTGCGAGTCTGTTAAGTCTGAAGCTTTGGTTGGAAGTCTGATCGGGGAGGAGAGGCTTAACCGTGGCTCCGATCTAGGACATATCGGGACTAGTTTACTTACGACTCGGGACTTGGTCGGATCAGGATTAGCGTTAAATTCTGCTGACTAACAAGCCTTTTCCCCTGAACCACATTGCGGTTGCGCCGTGAAAGAAGTGAGGACAGAGAGAATTAAATATATAATAATGGTTCATGCTGATCCATTCAGCTTGGTATCCGCCAATATCTCGCCTGGCCCGTGAATTGCATGCGTTTCTTGCGCGAATGATCCAATAATATCGAATTGGTCCTCCGTTGCTTGATTGATCCTTCGGGGTTTCTGCTGAAAGCCCCTCAACCTACGGAGTACATGTACTCAGTAGTACATGGGAATAACGGCCGCGTATCTGAGTTTCGAGTCATCCGTATCGTGCATTACGAGCCGCTATTGAGGTTATAAACTCCTCGTCTCCTGTGGCTTAACCACCCTATGCCGTCTTTCTCTACTGTCTTCCGCTAGATTTCACCGGCCTCCGAATCTGTTGCTAGACCTCGTGTACTCCGTATGGTGTCATGTCATCATTATTGTTGTTAATGATTGCATATTTTCCTGCAGAAAGATCCCAGGGTTGTCAGGCCCTGACGTTATTGGATATAGCCGCCGTCCCCTCCACGTTGCTCGTACTTTGGGCAGGGGCGGCATGCGCTTGGTATCCTACTGCGGCGACAGTGAGATGATGCTCAAGTAGCCGGGGTGACGCATTGCATCCTGCGTGGCAGCTCCCCTATGCAGACTTAGGTCCAGCGAAGATGGCAGGGCCTTGAAACCTCGAAGTCGTCCTCAGCGACCTTCCATTTTTCTTTAACACAATGCGGCTGCTACGCAATTAGCCCCGCTTCAGACACGGGAGAAGATTTCCTTCAGCCTTGGGAGGCAATCTCCTGCTGATCAGAGCCTATGGTGGAATTTTGCACGACGGCATGTTTATTCTCCGAGGAGGCTATTCCCTTCGTACGCGCGCTCGACCGTTTACTTCACAAGAAATAGGAATAGCGTCTACATCTCCGTAGACTTGAGAATTGAAGGAGGAGCTGCGTCCATATCTAGGAAGGGACTCAGTGGTGGCAAGTCGTGCACCTCGAATCTACAGATATCAGCACTTCAAGTCGCAAACCGATAAATACACTCGATATTTACATTTTAATTGTTAGTTCGCTAGAGTGGGAGATCTTGAGCGATGATGGTCCCGTAGTGTAGTGGTTATCACGGTGGATTTTGATGCTCTTCTCGATTTTCCACTGACCCCGGTTCGAATCCGGGCGGGACCTAATATAAATAAACATAAACATGGTTTTCTTTCTTTTTTTTTTTGACCTTCCTCTCCCACGACCACTGCGGCTAAAAGAGTTTCCTGCTGCGTAGCTTTGGTGTGAGTTAACTATTCCAAAAGCACCGAATGGCTGATGACTTGCCCCACTAGGTAGGTAGCAACATGTCAACATGTGATGATAACAAAAATAATATGACATGTATATTACAAGCACAATACCTTGGAGCCTCCGTATAGAAACCCTGGGGAAGTGCCTAGACTCTCCGAAAATTCCCGCAGGAGTCAGGACACATGGATCGATCCTACATAAGTTACGAACAAAAACTTTATTATTTTTGACTCCTGCCTCCGTTTTAAACAACCGTCATCATCTATGACACCGTCTATGCACAATGATCCTAGGCACCTCCATGCTACCATCCGCAGGGGAAAAGGGAAGTGAAGGGAAAGCTTGGGCGCATCGGTGTCGCACCACTAAACACTGCGTAACGGTGGAACTGCGTAACTGCGCCGGGGTTGGAAGAGGGGCTGTTTTTGATAGAACGAGATCGAGCGTGCTAGTTATGTACTGTACATGTACAGTACATACGATGAGTGCTCTGTCGGATTTGGCGGTGATGGCTAGCTAGTTACATAGATACGGGGCGGAGGGGCAGTGTGCACTATTGTGGCGGACATATTACTTGCGAAAACAGAATTTTCCCAGCCCCCCCTGAAAATTAGTAGCAAAACACCACCAAAAAATCAAAATATCTGCATTTCTCTAGAATCATTCAATATCATCCAATACATGTCTTTTTCAATCAAATATCATTCAAATATGCGTCTTTCTTATCTTTATCATCAATATGTCATCTCAACTCTGTGATTTCACCATCAACAAGATTGTATACCTTCTTAAGAATGATTATATGTCTGCTGAGCAGCCTGAGATCATGTGAAGCATTGATTATCACCTGTGTATATTGAATTCAATGAAATCTTCACTGTTTTGAAACTGCTAGAGAACTCTGTTCAACATGTGATATAAAGTCAAAGATTATATCAGATATCTCTTCAATTCTGAAGAGATTTAATGGAGATTTTGAAGCTTTTTTATATCATACAGTTGAGAACTTCATAAGAGAAAAAGATATAAAAGAATATTTCAGATCTACTTATATAGAATAGTATTATAATAATTAGAAAGATTCAGATTACAATTCATTATAATATAAATTTAGAAGTAAAAGCAGTATGAGATCTGTTCTCATCACTATAAATAGTGAATAAAGATGATTTGAATTTCTGCAATTTTGTCTGTTATAATGGACTTTTTAACCCATCTCTTATAATTTGAAATATACTCTTGTCAATATTCATATGAAGCAACTGTTCCCTTGTCAATCAATTGAAGTATTCATCAAATTGAGGTATTGGACTGCTTTGAATTGGAGATGGAACAGCGGATTCGATGGAAGATTCAACGGTGGATTCGATGGAAGATTTCAACAGTGTATTCGATGGAAGATTCAACGGTGGATTCGATGGAAGATTTCAACAGTGTATTCGATGGAAGATTCAACGGCGGATTCGATGGAAGATTCAACGGCGGATTCGATGGAAGATTCAACGGCGGATTTGATGGAAGATTTCAACGGCGGATTTGATGGAAGATTTCAACAGTGTATTCGATGGAAGATTCAACGGTGGATTTGATGGAAGATTCAACAGCAGATCTGAATGTGGATGATAATGAGATTGTGAATTCAGTTCTTCTATTCCTTTCATCATATATTTCATCATCATCACATTGATTATCTCACTTGAGAATGTCATATTGAATGAAGTTGAAGCTGTCAGAGCTGAAGAAGAGAATATAATCACTGACATTTGAGAGATCTGTATAGAAGAATTGATTGTAGAAATTATAGATTCATTCTTCTGATTCTTCTTCTTCTTTCTACTCATTAATCATTTTATCATCTCTCTTGTTCTTTATCTCATTGATAATCACCTGTTCATACAATCTGTATGAGATGTCAGGCTCAGGTGTAGGGATTCGCGGATATCAAGGATTCTCAGACTGAGTCTCTATATCCTTCTCATCCACCTGCTCCTCCATCTCATCATTGACTGGATCCTCTCCATTATCCAGAACTTCTGGAACAGGTAGTTTGAGGAGACTGAGGTGCAGGGTAGAAGTCTTTGTACAGGCTTGTGAAGCAGCAGGACAGCGGGCGTTGTGAGGCATATTGAAAAAAGGGTTGATTGATATATGCGGATTTGATGATAAAGGTAAGAAAGACGCGTATTTGGATGATATTTGATTGAAAAAGATGTGTATTGGATGATATTGAATGATTCTAGAGAAATGCAGATATTTTGATTTTTTGGTGGTGTTTTGCTACTAATTTTCAGAGGGGGCTGGGAAAATTCTGTTTTCGCAAGTAATATGTCCGCCACAATACTAGAAAAACCCTCACGAGTTCCAATTCGTGAGTAAAGTAAATAATAATGACTGAATTTTGCGTGGATTTTTAATGGAGAATATTACTGGGTGTTGTTACGTGACAAGAAATATATGCATAAGTTATGTCATTAGTTAACGAAATACTACTCTGTACAGGCACACAGAATGAAGTTTAATCAAGGGGACATTGAGAGGTTTTTTTCTTTCTTTCCTTTCCTTTTTGGACACGATACTCGCACTCCTCGCAGCGAAGCTTTCGACGTCTTCTCCAATCAAAGAATACTATTACTTCGTGCTTATTTCTTCACTACACCAAGGCCAGAAATCCTGATACAGAGGATATACTGTGGAGAGAGCCAAAAGAGGGGAGAAAGCTGAGGGGGATTCGGACATACTAATATTGGACGACTTTTCTGTCCCCGCCTGCGTCTCCGTGTTGGCTAGGATTGGAGCAATAATCATGAACAGAAAGGCGTGCTATGAAAAACATGTAAGTAGAGAACTAAAATTTGGGTGAATCAAGATGAAGGGGTTGAAGGGGGAATTGATATACCGATGCCACATTCTCGTGGGATATCAAAACCCATGAATCCTCACAACGTTCCGTTATGTCACTCGAAAAAATTGAAGAGAGGAGAAAAATGCTTTTTTTTTGACAGTATAACTAGAGGATATAGATAAAATCCCGCTAGAGGATATCGTGAAATGATATGATAAATCCTAAGAAGGAATGAGAAGAGAAGAAAGGGGAGGAGGAAGAGAGAGAGCGAGAACACAGGATAAAATATGAATATGTGATGCCAATATGTTCTTTTTATGACCCATAATATGCAAGTAGAGAAATATAAATAAAAATAAAGAGTAGGATTGGATTGAGGATTGAATGAAAAGGAGACTAAAAAATATAGAGCGAAAAAAACGCGCAGATTCAAGGAGGAAGGAAGGTTCTGAGCAAAAAATAGAAAAAATGGAAAGTGATATCGTTTAAGTAGTAAAAACAATAGAAGGAAAGGGGGGAAATAAGGAGCATAGGAGGGCGGGGAGGTAAGATATATAGTGAGCAAGACAAGGGGGAAAGGTTTTCCCCCCTCCTTTTCTCCCGCACAACGGAAATTGATGTATCGATCGAATGATGTAACGCGATGCGAATAAACAGAAACTGAGGAATATGTTCCCTCGAAACAAAAGAGTAAAAGAGAAGGAGTATAACACATAGAAAAAAAAAGGAAAGAAAAATTGAGACGTAGATGATAGCTAAACGCAACGGGCAGGCGGCACGTCGTCGACTAGGCAGGTGTGTGTATACGCGTTTGAGATCTTTTTTCGTTTCAGGGTTCATCCAGTAAACAAGAGAATAAATAATCGCTTTTGCAAAAAGGCAACAAGCAACACCTCACCCCGCATGCAATCCGTTAACATGATAAAAGATAATTTTTTTTTTAAAAAAAAAGAAGTTAAAAAGGGCTAAGATAACGGGAGGAAAACATGCTCTCTTTGATTTTTCGTTCTTTGTTCTTTCTTTGTTCTTTCTTTCTCATTCTTTAAATTAAAGGGATAAGAAACGGAGGGAAATGAAAGTTGTCCTGATGATGTACAGAGACAGAGACAGGTAAGGTAGTATGTGCATTGAAAAAAAAAAAAAAAAAAAAGAATCTCATTCATTATTAATTCTTCTTTGCGTTTCCCTTTCGTCAAGAGGTTCACATATCAAAGTGGTAGTCATCATCGCCGAAAATACCGCCTTCAGAGTGTTCGCTGGTTTTTACGATCCCGCTCATTCGATGATCCCTTCCGCTCGCGGGGGGGTGCGCTTGTTTTACCCAGGTATCATCTGGCTTTGTGCCGTCCTCCATGTAAACATCCTTCATATGCTGGTCCATGGAGCGCTCATTGACAAAAGTAAAACCCCGGAAATTGGCTTGCATGCCTGGCGATAAGGGTGTTGACGCTGGCATGGCGCCAGCGGCAAGTGCAGCAGCGCGCGCATTTAGGGAAGTGGCCTGGTCCAGTGCAGTTGTGAACTCTGGGTCGAAGTACGACGTATCCATCACTGACTTCAATTTTGGTTTGAATGGAGGAGCCACATTCTTTTTGGCCAAGGCGTCCCAATCGACATCATGGAAAAATGGATGGGCCATGAGCTCCTTCGCGTCGTCCGTAGCTCCTAGTCGGTGTTTTGGGTTTCGATTAAGTAGACCTTTCACGAAATTGCGTCCCTCAGTACTAAGAGCGTCACGAGGAAACCTCACTTTCCCGAAGGCGATGTTCTTATACATCTGCTGCGTATCCTCTGCGTAGAAGGGACTCCATCCACAGCACATTTCGAAGACGAGTACACCCAAGGACCAGAAATCTACCATCTTCGTGTAACCTTGCTCATCCAGGAGAACTTCAGGAGCAAGATACTCCGTTGTGCCACAAAACGTATTCGTTGTTTGATTTTTTGTCAAGTTTGCCTTGGATAGCCCAAAGTCACAAAGCGCAATGTGACCATTTGCATCAAGTAGGATGTTCTCGGGCTTGAGATCCCGATAAACGATGTCATGTTCGTGTAGATGTTGCAATGCCAATATCAACTCTGCAATGTAAAACTTCGCCCTAGCTTCTTGGAACCTGCCCTCTTTTTGTAGATGCCAAAATAATTCCCCTCCCGACATATAGTCCGTGACAAGGTACAAATCAGTGGGCGTTTGGAAAGAGAATTTGAGACCCACGATAAACGGAGAATTCGTCATGGCCGTTCGAACCAAGATATTCCTTTCACCAAGCGTGTGGGCGACTTCCTTCTTCTGAATGATCACCTTTTTGGAAAGGACCTTCATTGCGTAGATTCGTTGGGTGTCCTTTTTCCTCACTTGGTATACTTGCCCAAACGTCCCTTTCCCTATGAGTTTGAGGATTTGGAAATCATTTGGCCCAAACTGCTTCTTATCCGTTTTCTGAAAGCTCATTTCCAAGTGTATTTCCCCAGACACATGGCCGTCACCCCGACCACGAGCCACCAGAGGATACCAACCCTCTATAGACTGATTATCTTCCTTGAAACTGGCGCTCAACTTTACATGACCTAGAAATGCTTCATGATTCGATCTGTCATAAACCGAAACCTCAATTTCCGATTCGTCTCCAAGGACATCACTAGAAATTAATTAGCAATTTGGACGCATTTATTGGTGTTGCCGGGGTTTTCTTTTTTCTTTTTTCTTTTTTCTTTTTTCTTTTTTTTTTCTTTTTTTTCAGAAAAAAAAAATTAATGTTAGAAAGAGGAGCAGGAACAAAACGCACAAAACGGCTTCATGGTTCCACTGAGGATCCGTTACCACACCTGCCTCTTTACGATCATGATTATCCAACATACTGTTATTACTGCTCTGTCGACTTTTCATTGGGATTGCCATTGGGCGCCCGGAATCACTGTTTGACCGTTGGATTGGTACAGAGGATAGCGAATCCTCCCCTCCCTTCGTAGTCCCAGCGTCATCCCCCTCCTCCGCCTGAGCGCCCTTGGAAATGCACTCATTCAATTCGAAGACGCACACAACGTAAGGGTCGTAACTTGGTCGTAAACCCCTTCCCTCGGATATTTTGACAGATAATTTCCCTTTTAGCGACCCTACCGGAATACCTTGGGCTTCCGTTATGCCAGTAGAACGAGACGATGACTGCTGAGGTGTTCGCTTGCTCGACTTTGTTGATTCAGGATGCTCATGCGCAGGGGAACTAGAGGATTTATCTAGTTGAGGAGTTTCATTTGTTGACATGGCCCGCGGAGTTAAAGGTGGTGTATTCTTTTGCGGTTGATTGGTAGTCAGCTTTGCCAGTTCCTCAGAAGAATTGGAAAGCGGGCAAGAGTGAGTGGAAGGTGATAAGGTAGGGCAAGTAGGTAAAGATGGGTTAGAAAAGTGAGATGCAAGGACAGGATCCTTTGAGAGACAGCTAGAAACAGGTTCTGATGTATGCCGTCCAATCTTTAAGGAATTCTGCGAAAGCAGGTTCTTTATTGCGCGGCGGATAGACCCCATTCCGCTCTCAACCCCAGGTGCGCCATTTTCTACCTCCTCTGCTTCCTTTTGCACAATCGAACAGGAAGAGGATGAAGAGGATAAGGGAGGAGTGGGTAACGAGTTGATGTCCGAAGGTGCCTCCTCTTTTCCTCGCTGTTCTGATTCTTTTTCAGATTGGGATGGAACGGGATCAGAAGACTGATCTCGCTCCAGCATTACAATGGAGCCAGACATCGAGGCATTATCAGAGGAAGCCTTCGTCTCCACATCAACTTGAGGATGTACAAGAGAATCGTATTCTTGAGTATAATCGGAACCACGAACCTGAAAATAGCTGGGTATTATGCTCGGGAAGCGCTTGTCGGTAAACTCTGGTTGCGGTGTAGCAGAGCTACCATCGGGAGGGGTTACAGAACCTATATCGTCATCGTTTTCTCTGCTAAATATCAGCCACAAGAGCCCAAAATAGGTTGGACGAACGTCGTGGAGGGGATGGATATGTTGTGGGGAGCCTCTTGAGCCCGGGCCAAAGGGTGATAGCAAGGTTGTAAAGGACGGAGTTTCAAGATGGGAGAGATGCGATCCCAAAAGAAGAGCCAGAGCTAGCCCGCGGGCATTGGAGCCAAGTGTTTTTTCTTTTCTTTTCTTTTTTTTTTTTTTTTTTTTTTTTTTTTTTTTTTTTTTTTGTTTATCTTCCAAGACTTCGATACCCAGCGAGGAATCACTCATCACCTCCGCAAAAAAACACTAAGACTTACAGCATGGCCTCCCGTAGTAAATCCGCATGGACCCGTTGTCCCGCCATGTTTCATTCAACAGGCTGACCCTCCTCCTAAAAGCAGTCACCTACAGCCGTAGTAGTACCCACTCAAAAAAGATAGATGTATGCGAAACAGAGGTCGATTGTAGGTTTGAGAGAGGCCTGGAATGCGCGCAGAAGGAGGCCTGCCTAGATTCGAAGATAAGAGTTCGAAAATGTTAACTTTATGACCGCAAAAGTAAAAAGAAAAGAGAGACAAAAATGAACGAGTCGTAGTATATTTAACATGAAAAACAAAACCAGAAATTGATTTAAAAACAATAAAGGGGAAAAATTGGAAAAATTGGAAAAATTGGAAGGGGAAAAAAAAATAGAAAATAAAAGAAGAAAAAAAATTCCTTGTCCCGGGAGCTAGCAAAGTTTGCGGAACAGACTCCGACCAGGAATTGTTAGGATGGAAATGGTTGGGCAGCGGTGAGGGCGTGGTGATTATGATTAGGATTTCAGGACAAGAGAAACAGAGAGAGAAACGTACTGTACTCACTGTACTCTGTGCCTAGGTACCGTTGTCCCAAAAGAACCTTCTTTTTACACGATGCTAGAGAGTCGATGATACCTTATTCAGCTACCCTATAGTATAACAAGAGACTAGATAGGGCAGAAGACCCTAGTATTGCAGAGGAGCTCTTGTTGTAGAAGGGTGCTGTTGTTCTTGTTCTTGTTGTTGTTGTGGTTGTTGTAGTGGCTGTTGCTGTCGTCTGGGAACAGTTGAGGGGGAACAAGAAAGCTTTCGGCTGAATAGAAGAGGCTATATGTCAAAAGTACGTAGTAGTTACAACTCGAGAGAACCGGACAGTTCAACAACATGTGGGCAGAGATCGGCGATATCAGATCAGATCAGATCAGATCAGGGAGTCAGAGAGAATCCAGCGACAGAGGGAGCCATGTATGTATTTACATGTACATGTAGAGTAACTTTGGAGCTAAAAGCTTGGGCATGGGGAAGGGAGAGGAGGTACGGTACGGTACCGGGTAAAGAGGAGAACAGAAGAATGAAGACGAATAAAGAATGAAGACGAAGACGGGGAAGAGGATGAAGAAGGATGAAGAAGAAGAAGAAGAACAAGAAGAAGAAGAGGAGCCAAGACAAGACAGCAGCTGCATTCAAGTCTCCAAGAGCATCAACACGACAAAAGAAGACATCCTGACCAAACCCCCAACCCAACGTTCTGTCTTGTCTTTTTTTATCTTTTATCTTTTACCACCAACAGCCGACTACTACGGGCTGGGTGAGGTTGACTGCGGAAGCAAAAAGAGGGGGAGGCGACAAACACCAGCCTCGTCCTGTTCCGCGTCTCGCCTCCTCCTGTTCCGCGTCTCGCCTCCTCCTCCTCCCCCTCCTCCTCGTCGTCGTCGTCCGCCGCCTCGTCCTCCGCTTCCTCGCCAGAGAGTGCTGTTCTCTGTCTCATCCGTCTTCCTTCTTTTTGTCTCTGTCACAGGCTTAGCACTGGCTAACCCATTATTAGTTAACAAAGCCATATCATCCCATCCCATCCTGAGATCACATTTCGTGGCCACCTCTCCTAGGAATGAATCCCCATCAATTGCTGAGGAGCAGAGAGGTTGGTGCAGGGCAACACCAACAAACTTCGCACTATCACATCCACCAGTCTGGCTCGGCTGCGGAGTTTGGGATTAGTATTCGAGATACTATTCGTCTCATCGAGCGATTAGCTACCAGTCCACGGTTTAGCGGACCTACGGCCAGCAACTTGCAAGAAAAGGCCTTCCGATTCTTGCCTGCTTCCCCCGTCCAATATTAATCCTTATTGTGTTGTCCCCTTTCGCGGCGCCTTCCCTGCCTGGGCATTGCGCCGCTGGTTTATTGGATGTGTGATCATTAGGCCAACTGCCCTCATTCTGTGACTGGACGCACCGTTTCAAAGCCCATATTTTCGCCTAAGACCAAATTCCAATTCTGCATGAAATAATCATCAGCTCCTTCTGTGCTCTGGACGGAGTAGTTGAGCAACAGATCAGAAATGTCTTATTCTCCGCCCCGCCACAACGCGCGCTGTCAGGGTTCAGCCGCCAGCCAGCTCGGCCTTCTGTACAAATTATAGCAACGCCACCTCCAACCACTGCTTGTCTACGGATGTCGATGGTCCCTTTTTCAAAAAAAAAAAAAAAATAAATAAAAATAAAAATAAAAAAAATAAAAATAAAAATAAAAATAAAAAAAATAATCGGGATTTTAAAGTCTCACTGCTCTAACAAGAAAGATTTCGATATACAGAGGATTTGCCACTGACTACAGATTTGGCTGCTGGAGCTCGATAAGTGGAGAAGCAGCTGCAATCGCTATCCTTGATTCCCAGGAGCACAGAACTTCAGGAAATGTATTGGGTGACGTATAGGCTCCCTAGCAGCTTCTTGGTGTTGAGCGGAGATATGGCTTCCAGCCCTTCACAAATCACACAAATACTATGCATATGTTTCGCCGTACGCCAAATGCAAGTTTCGCGAGCTGCAATGTTCGGTCATGAGTAATTAAAAATCCCCCAAATGTGGATTTGATACTGTTTCATTCGAGCATTAAAATTGAAGACCTCGGCTTGGATCATACAGTGAATCCGGCAGTTTTTTTTTTTTTTTTTTTTTCTTTTGTTCAACATTCCTGGACTTTGAAGGAGACTCAGTTCAATTAAATATCTCTGCAATGCAATGAACAGAGCAAAAAAGAGACGACAGCAGAAAAAATTAATGAGCATATGATATGATTCAGATTCTCCACGTCAAGGATTGAGGTTTATTTCTCTGGGTTAAAAGGTGTCTCAACCTCTGATGAAGCATATATAATGTTGATGGTAGCTTGAATTCTCCTGTCTCTTGAGGTGGTCCATCTTGCTAACGAATCACGATAATATAACTGTGCTCTCGATTTTCCTAGCCATGCGGATAGCTCCAGCTTTCGTGCTTTGATGATGGCTGTGAGCTTGAAGTTGTGGACGATTTTGATTCTCCACGTTTAACGCCAAGGTAGGCAACCCCGCGCATGATTGGCCTTCAAACAACGAGAAAACATGGATCTTTGTACCTGGCTCGCTGCCTAGATCATGACCAAGCAAGCTCCCCGCAGACACAGGCAACACCACCATAATTCTACTTTCCGTATATTTATCGCGACGGACCTCCCAGTTTTAAAATTTCTAGACTTTCATTCGATATCGAATCAATCACTCATACTTCTCCACAGTCTTTTTACAGTCAGATCGCTAGAAAATCCAACGCCGCCAAACAGATACCATGGCTGCTCAACCCAACCCTGCGCCTCTTGTGCTTCCCGGCTTTGGAATCGAATTGAATCGCGCAGCATCATGGAGGGCAACCCTTGCTAAAGGTTATGTCACGAATACGCCAAATAAGCAGGGAGAGCCTGGAATATTCCCCTCCCTCTTAGCCCTACAGACCTTGGAAGGATATCAAGCTATGTACTTATATATCACCCCGAGTTGACTATTGCTCACCCTATCTGACCACGAGACTGACATGTCTGGTAAAAGGCAACACTTCACTCCCATCCGAGAGTTCACAATGCTTCAGATTATGAATACCATAACTGACAAGCCCGGCTGGGAAAAGAAGGTGCTTAGACATCTCCCTAACTAACCCCAGCGCCTCTTTAAGCTTCCCCACCTTATTCTCCTAATCAGCCGTTTTATTTGTATATGCACTGTATTTCTGGCTAGACACGTTATGAGGTTATTCCCCCAACCTCGATTGACTTCTAGTTGACTGGGTTTTTTTTTTACATTCATATCTAGATATTTTCACCAGACATCATAAACAAATGGAGAGAGGAGGTAATGGCGCATAAAGACATGGATGTGTCAGAAAAAATGATGGATTGGGTCATTAACGAGCTGCAATTCAAATCAAAGGGCTTCGAAAAGAGTGGAAACATTTTGGTCTATGACGCGGGTGTTGTGAAATCGGACACCGCAATCCCGGATACTCTCCGGAATGCGCTCAAATCCGCTGCTGCCCGCTTAGAAGATGTCCCAGACGACCAGAAGGATTATCATCCCCAATCGAACAACCAGGTTCTTGACCTCGTGCATCCCTCTCTGTTTCCGGTGGTCTATGGTCGGACTCGGATTATCACAGACGGCGTTCTAGGAATTCACGAGGGGATCGCTAGAGCTGGATCTGGTGAGGTTCTTGAAATTCCGTCGAAAGAAGAACTTAAAGCACATAAATTCCGGCATGATCGACCTGGTGAACTACAGATTCCTTACAGTCAGAAGTTCCAGTGGCTTCCCTGTGACGTCGCGTTCACAACAGATTCAACAGATTCAACAGAAACGGACGGACACGACAAGGATCAAAATCTTAATAGCTGCAAGATCACCAGCTATATAAATAACTTGCACCCAAGGGAACACCGAGAATTATATGGAGTGATCGAGCAAGTTATCTCCCTCGCTGTTCCGTTATGGAATAGAACGCTAGGGTACGCGAAGTCCAAAACCTACACTCGCATAACATACCATTTCTGCGAAAAGGAAGTTGACCACGACTTCGTCGCAGCTATTCCAAGACCTGAATTGGAATCCGACGAAGACGAAGATGACTATTACGACCGCGTAGACGAATGGGAAGAACAGAGCCAAAAATTTAGACTCCCTGAGCCCGATGCTAAATTTTTGCCTCCGAACGAAGATATTCTCGTTGACTTGCAGCGGGATTATGGAAGTACTGGCTTGCAAGTTATTGTAAAACTTGCCAACATTCATCTCACACCAGAAAAGCCCAGGTACAATGGTGGTACGTGGCATGTTGAGGGTCAACTAGTATGTATTACCCCGCAAGAATCGGAGCAACCGTTTCCTCTTTTTACATCGATGAATGTATGGCGCTGAGACACCGTTTCAGAATGAACACATATGCGCTACCGCGTTATATTACTATGACAGCGACAATATCACTGAAAGCCGCCTTGCCTTCCGCCAGCTAGCTGACGTGGACAGCGCTAGTGAGATAGGGTACGAGCAAGACCAACACGGATGGCTACCACTCGTGTTCGGTTGCCAGAATGGCAACGCCCCTATACAGGAGATTGGCAACGTCGTTTGCAAACAAGGCCGACTCCTAACATTCCCTAACATCCTCCAGCACCGCGTTTCGCCATTCCAGCTCGAAGATCCGTCCAAGCTCGGCCACAGGAAAATCCTCGCGTTGTTCCTGGTCGACCCCAACATCCGCATCATCTCCTCCGCCAACGTCCCGTGCCAGAGGCGTGATTGGTGGGCGGAACAGGTGCCCTGGGAAAATATCACGGGTCGCCTCCCCCCTGAGCTGTTCAGTGAGGTTGCGTCTCATCTCGATGACTTTCCGATATCGATGGAAGATGCGAAGGAGCTGCGATTGGAACTTATGGAGGAAAGGAAGGCGGTGGTTGTGGAGCAGGGTCAGGCGATGGAGAGCTACACATTTTCGTTATGCGAGCATTAAGACCGGTGTTGTCGGCTTGAAACTATGAAGGTAAAGGCAGTGGTGTTGCGAGGGAGGTATAAGATGTGGCCGGCGAGGGGGGAAATGGGGAAAGGGGGAAATGATAGGGAAGGGATCTCCGCAGAGGAACCTTCAAGCTTTCTTCCCTCCGTCCACGTCTTGATTGTACTGACCCTCATCTCCTTCCTTTGGCGCCGTAAACACCACGCATGCACTCGAGTCTTCGCAAACTACTCAAGTAGATGTCATTGCTATTTAAATATACCTATTTGTAACTTAAATCCAAGCTTATTCTAGCAATGATCGACTCTTCTCCTTGGCTGCATTTTTCTGTTCCGCGGATCATAATAGCCATTTACAGTTATCTCAGCATGCTCAGCCTCTCTTCTCGATATTTTCGGATTAGTGTGACCAACTAAACTCCTTTAGACTTCTGCCAAGTCCTGCTAACTTCTGGATCAATAAGAGACTTCATATATACTCATAATCTAATATCTTGTAGAGAGTCTGAGAAGAAACAGTTTCATCATATATAAAAAATCAACTTCATTTATATAAAATATTTAATTGACTTTGAAATCATACATCTACTCTAAATATCTATCTAATCATTATTAAATTAATATTTTTTAAATTCTCAGTTATTCTGCTATTATCTCTGCTATTTTATAACTTACTATTTCTTCTTATTATATTATAATCATTGATAAAAGACAGTGTGTCTTTTAAATCTCAAGACACTTAATATCAGACATGCTTCAGTCAATATTCTTTATTACTTAAAGATAAATTCTCTCTACAATTACTATAATCTCTTAATAATATAGATGATGAATATAATATATCTTGGAGGATAACGTTGTTGTGTTGTGTTGTAATCTAACTACGCGAGTTACAACTAAATGAATAGGTTGGGGTGGCACGTGACTAGGGTAGGTGTAGTAATCACCAACACCCCCCCTTGCTACACCGTGGCCTATAAGCCGCCACCCGGGGCCTCCCCCATCCTCAAATCTTTCGAAAATGCAATAATAATTAATTACATCAATCGGACCCTGATTTCCTTATTAGGAAAGGCGTCCGTACAGTAATAACCGTAAAAATCAAGAAATACATGCAAAATCCACTGATTCACTGTATCATTATTACCATTCAATCATTCCTTTCTGATCTCTTTCAAACCAATCCTTTTGACAAAATCTTCAAACGCAGGCTTCGCCAGTGGCTTGGTGAGCCCGTCAGCTATGTTCGCTGTAGAACCAACATGTTCCATCATGATTTCCCCTTTTTCAACCAAATCGCGATCCATCAACCCGGCGTCATATAAACAGGTTGCATCGTCTGTTATACCCAACCAATAACTTGCACCCCCCCTAGTGGGGGTGTCATTCCCGTCGAAAAGTGTTTTTCCACCCCCTGCCAGATCGATGAAGAATCTCATTGCCGGCTTGACAGCTCGTGTCATAGGTGCGAAGGTTGGACGTGTCATTTTTGCTTGGACACAGACCTTGCAAAACGGTAAAGCTCGTTGACCTATAATCCTCATTCCCAGGTGTGGATCCGCCGCCATTTTCGTGATATCCGCGGGATTCAGATGCCCTAGCCTTTTGATGCCATTGCATCATCGTAAGTTCTATAACCTTTGTATCATTCCTTTCAGGTAGTGCCAATATTGTGTCATCTTTCGCCCGTAATGTGTTCGCAGGTTCAAAATCACCATTGGGCATAGCAAACCGGATCAAGTCTCTGTATGTAACCGGCCTTTCCATCTCATAGATATCATTCTCATTTAATCTTGCTGTAAATGAGAACATGCGGTCGGGAGACATAATCAACATAGCATGATTATTCCCATATGTCAACTGCTTATAGGTATAACCCTGACGTACAAGCTTACCCATACTCATGAGGTTCACTTCTAACTTTGGGACATAGCGGACATCATTTAACAGCATATCCGCCCCTTCCACTGGAATCTTCGTATCTCCTATAGCTGCAGCGGGGACTACCGTTCCGTCTGCCATTTCCAACATCACTTTCACCTTCTGAGGTTTTGCCACGACAAGATCCCTGTGGGGTGTGGCGTGGGCGCCCGATCCAGAGTCTAGGATCCAGGTATCTTTTCCTGTCTGGCCACTCGCATAGGCCTTTTCTTTGATGCAAAATACTTGCTCCATGACGTTGTGAACAGGAGCAGCACCTGTATTCTCCGCATCCTTGTCTTTATCCTTGTTCCTATTGGTGTTGGAATTCGAATTCGAAGGACGTTTCTCAGGGTATTTCTTCCAACAGTCAGTCTGGATATGACCAACCTTTTGACAATGATAGCAGGTCCTCGCATCATTACCCCTACGTTCAGGTTTGGATTCAGTGTCCTTGTCCTTGTCATTGTCTTTCTCTTTGTCCTTGGCTTTCTTATCCTTATCTTGCGCGTTGTTGATAGGATTTCTCGTGGATTCCGTACTACTATTTTCCGCAGTAGGAAGGCGTAGGAGTATGTCACGGCATAACCCCATGAAGTCTTCTTCTAAAGGTCTCGAATTGTCCTTATCGATCTGGTCCATCCTATTCTTTATGAAGGATGCCCAACCTCTATTGACTCCTGTCAGTAATCTATCGAAAAACACGACATCTTCAATCTTATATCCCAGGCGGATATAATCAGTCCTGATGGCAATTAATCGTTCAATGAAAGCTCTGTCAGATCCTTTGCTTTTGGAGGTCATTCCAATAAGCTCTTCAAACAAACGAGTCCTGCGTACAGCAGGCCTCTCGGAAAAGTTATCCTCTATGATAGTCCATAGAGCATAAGCTGATAATTTGGACTCCTTGGGTATAGTGAAATGGGCCTTGGCCTGCGGGGCAATTGCAGACCACATGTAATTGTATAACCAAAGATTGCGTTCTTTCCAGAAACGTTGCATGTCCATAGTGGCATTCTCACCAAGGCCATTACCTTCAAGAATATCATCGGTTTCAGACTGCTCTGCAGCCAAAAGGATTTCCTCTCTCCACATTGGGTAGTTAATGGATCCAGTGAGGACAATCGGTCTTTTGATGAGTCTTACTTGGCTTCTGAATTCTTCAAGGACTTTCATTATGACAGATGTCTTCCCTTTCCGTTGGAGGTATTCTGCCAGGTCTGCTCCCATCTCATCACCTGCAGGGTCACCCCTACTGGTCTTCATCCGCTCAACCTCATGCTGAAGTCTTGCAATTTCTAGTCTCATGCGAGTCTCCTCGCTCGCTGAGCTATTGTCGTTCCGGCCACTTGGGCCCCCCGCATTGCCTGACATCTCACTGATGATGCCTTCAACCGGGTCTTCGTATACGTTGGACTCGTCAGACTGTTCTTCTGCGATGGTTTCGTCCGGCTCAAACGCCCCAGGAGCCGCCTTCCGATTCGTTATTGGCGTTGGCAGTGATCTGTGATCTTGTGTTTGCTGCTCTGGCGTTTTCTCGTTTTTCCGTCTTGAAGGCACGTATTCTTTTGTTAAGTCAGGCGTCCCCCCGGATCTTAGATTAACCATGGGTTCAATCACTCAATAAATCATCTAGGCACGCTTGTAACGACGCGTGGAGATGTCAATTGCATGTTATTTTGCAGCTTTTCATTGCGTAGAGGGCTTCATAACCTCTTGGAGGATAACGTTGTTGTGTTGTGTTGTAATCTAACTACGCGAGTTACAACTAAATGAATAGGTTGGGGTGGCACGTGACTAGGGTAGGTGTAGTAATCACCAACAATATATTAGATAATGACTTAATAGAGCTTAAATCTATTAATACTTCTTCAGAATTCAAGATCACTGATACTGATACTGATACTCTGTAAGCTTGTTTATAATTAAATTGCTATGATTCACAGTATCTGTCTATAATATCTTATAATCAGTAGAAAAGATGATTAAAATTATCTTATATTATTAGAATATTACAGTAAAATAGTTAAGAAATAAAGATCTTTATAGAGACTTAAATTCAGAATTCTAATATCTTAACTTATTAATAATACAGTACTTCTATAAAGTAGTAAAATATACTATATTCAGCACTTTTCAAAGTAGGAATATTTAATAATAATTAATATTATACTATCTTATTTAAATAGAAGCTGAAATATCTTATTAATACTTTCTTCTTTATAAAATTTAATTATAATTCTGATCTGAATATTATTAACTTTCAGACTACTTTTAAAATTATTCAGACTAATATATTAATCTGATTTAATCTACTTACTTCTGTTTTAAAAAATAAATATATTAATTAAAAGAGCTATGAATGAGACTCAGATAAAATAATAGCTATTAAATAGCTATTTATTATTATAAGTATTATATATTACTCTTATTTCTTAAAAAACTTAAACTTCTTCAGCTCTATTCTCTCTATATATTTTTATAATTCAAAAGTAAAATAATGAATAATAGAAATTATTTCTGACTTTAAACTCTGTTATAACTATATAATGAGAAATAGATTAATAATAAAAATTACTAAATAAGAGAAGATATAACTTAATATTCTTAATTTATTAATATTTTTATTTAATATCTTAAACTTCTAGTAATCTCTGATAATATCTGTTATTTTCTAATATATTCTTTAAACTTCTATTAACTTCTAAGTTAATCATTTAATTAATTCTTACTATTAGATTAAACTTTAGTAGCTTATTAAAGATTCTTGAGTTATTATAATCTATAATAATATGAACTTTAAGAAGACTGTATAAGATGAGATAATTAAATATAATAATTTCATAACTACTATAACTACTGCTACTGTAATTATTTTCTCTGATATTTCAGAAACTGATCTAATTCAGATTATACATAATTTTATAAGACTGTTAATACTGTAAGAAATCATTGATATATCTGATATAACAGATAATAATAATAAGCTTTAAAAGTAAATAATATTATATCTTATTTCAGATACTGTTTAAAAGATTTATAATAATAAGATTAAAAGTATTTTCAGTACTGTAAATAATTTATTATCTTAAATATTTATTATTAATACACTTTCTGTGTATAGAATATGTTTTCAGTAGTTAAGTACTATTTTTGAAAATAAGAGTACTATTGCAGAAACTATAAGAGTTTATAAGAAAATATTTAATAATTTTCTTAATTTATTAAGAGATTATATAATATTTTTAACTCATTTCTTTTCAATATATAAAGATACTTTAATCACAAAACTTATTCAGTTAGTTAAGATAGAGTAGTTAAAATCTACAGATATCTTTGAATAGTATAACTAACTTTATTCTATTTCTGAATAATTTTATATTTAAATGAATCTATTCTTTATCATTATCTATACTTATTTTAAAGCTGAAGTCTCTGAGAAGACTCATCACTATATTCAGTTCAATCTTACTTATTAAAACTGAAATTCTATAACTATTATTAATCTGAAATATTATCTTCTTAAGTCAGTGATTTCTCAGAGCTTTATATTTCAAAGTCTTACTCTATTTTATACTATTATATAATATTAAGATTATTTAGTTAGTAATTTTAAATACTTAGAAGATATTAATTCTATTATATAATAACTTAGTTCTTTACAGTATTTTCAGCTTATTAAAGATATATATATCAAAGTATTTACTCTTAATATCTGAAATGAAATTAACTCTTAAATCTCTTAACTTACTTAAGATATTGAATTTCATATTATATATTATCTTCTTCAAGAATGTGAATTATTTATTTAAATATACTATACTATTAAGTATAATAATATTAAACTTCTTAAGTACTTTATTTTATCTCTGATTATCTTCTTTCTTAATACTGATTAATATAATTATATCACTGAGATACTTCATTATTTTTAAATACTTTAATTTATTAAAACTTCTTCTCTATATTAAGTAATTATAACTGTGAGTCTTATCAATTAATCTGAAAAACCTGACTTCTTCAAAACAATTAATCTAGATATAAAATATCTCAATAATAGCTATAAGCTGAAGATGAAATACTATAAAAATTCAATAAAGAATATCTATCTTATATTTAATTAAGTTTATCTATTAAATACATGAGTTCATCAGTTATAGCAGATTTTAGAGTCTATCTTTAAATATTCACTTACTGAGAAATATATAAGTGCTGTTACTAAGCTTAAAATATTCTCTACTACTAGAAGTCTATTAAAGAATGATTATATCTTATCTTAAGATTTACTTTTACTATCAAAGAAATGTATATTTAACTTCTTAAATATACTTTTAATTAGAGTGAAAGATCTGAAGAAGAAGATTAAGTACTTTAATTAAGTATAAATTCAGCAGCAGTTAATTGCAATGAACTTGAATTTAAATAATATAATTATTAATACTGAAGTTGAGTCTTATTCTAAGAAATTCAATAATAATATAGAGTAAGATTCTATTTTTATTGAAAATATACTATCTTTATCTACTATAAATAATCTATCTGATACTTTAAAAACAATTCTGAAGAAGAATAACTAAAATTAATAAATATACTGAAGCTTTACTTACTTTATCTTTCTTTAATATATAATATTATATTTTTACTGATAAATATATTAATAATAGAACTTCTGCATTATTCTGTCAACTTATAAGTCAATTAAATATTAAGATTTAAAATAAATATGACTAATATCTGATAAATTTTATTTTTAAGATATTATTTTTTAATATCAACTAATTTACATTTATAACTGATACTTATAAAGAATATCTATATAGAATCTTTAATATATTCATCTATATAGATTACTTATTTATTAGAGTTCTACTTGAAATCTTCTTTATAAAGCAGAGTAGTATAAATAAAATAAGAATCTAAACTATCAGAGTACTGCTTCTCAGTGAAGAAGAAGATAATCTCTTTAACAGCAACTGATATAACTATGTTAATAAGAATACACTGAGATTCTTGAGCTTATATTTAAAGATACTATACTCATTCTTGCATGCAATAACTCAGCAGTAAGAATAAGAATTTTCAGACTTAGTTATCTAAGCTCTTCTCTTCTCAGAGTATACTCAACATTTCTTATTATTCTCTTAATAGATAGTATATCTGTTCTTTCTCAGCAGCTGCTCACTCAGCTCTGTCTTCATTATTCAGTTAATATGATCTCACATTCTCTGCTTCTGCAGAGAGAAGCACTGAAACTTCTTATAAGAGACTAATCATCATTTTTCTGATTTCTGAGACTGATAGAATAATGAGCTCTTACTCATTATTCAATTTCAATCTTATCTTGACTGACTTGTCAGCTATGTCTGCTCTTAACAGACACAGCTGACAGATGAAGTGTTGAGAGAGAGAGAGATATTATATAATATTATTAACAGTGACAGCAGCAGTGAGAGAGAGAAAGTACTCAATACAGAAGATAGCTGAGAGAATAGAAAAGATAAGCTTATTAGTATAGAAGACAGAGAGAATCATAATAACTCTGAAAAGAGAGAGAAAAAGCTAATATAATATATCAGTGATTGATTCTTTCTCTATTATATATATTTTATTCATATTCATATTACTTACTTAATTAATTCTGATGAAACTTCTTTCTCTGTAAAGAACAGAGAAGAGAAGAAATCTGAGAAAGAGAGAGAGAGATAAGAATAAGAACTGCTATATAATAATATTAACTTCTTATTCTCTTATTATATTATACTTATTTAGAGAGAGCTTTTCATATCTATCTGAATAAGTTCAGCTCATCATCTTCATTCTTTAAAGAAGAAGAAGAAGTCTCAGATATTTTCTCACTCTTACTCTTACAGATGAGAGTGAGAGCAAGAGTAAGAGCAGAGAAATAAAAGTAGATACAGATATAAGTACAGATACAGAGAGAAGAACTAATTATCAGAGTTAGTATTTTATTTCATTCTTATTATACTTTTCATACTGAATAGATATATACAGTGAGTAATAAACTTTATTAGAGTAGAGTTATTCATGTGAAATAGCTGCAGCAGCAGCAACTATATTCTTTTCACTGATGAGAAAGCAGAATGAGTGTATTTACATCAATATTATAGAAGAGAGAAGTATTATATTGATTTTTTTAAATTATGAAGAAGAAGAAAAGAAGAAGAGAAGAAGAGAAGAAGAGAAAGAAAGAAAAAAAAGATTTAAAAATATCAGTATAGTATTATTCATTTCTTCTTTAATATAGTGAATTTATCTTCTTATTCATTAACTAATTTGATAGGCTCAGAAGTTCATATAACTTTAAAGAAATTCACAGATATTTATAAAAGATCAGTGAAGTTAAAAAAAGATCAAAGATCTTATTATTTTACAGTATCATCTTATAGCATCAATTCTCTCAAAGATCTCATTATCTTATAGCATCAATTCTCTCAAAGATCTCATTATCTTGCAGTATCAATTTCCTTGAAAATCTCATTATCTTGCAGTATTAATTTTCTCAAAGATCTCATTATTTTACAGCATCATCTTACAGCATCAATTCTCTCAAAGATCTCATCATCTTACAGCATCAATTCTCTCAAAGATCTCATCATCTTACAGTATCATCTTGCAGCATCAATTCTCTCAAAGATCTCATTATCTTGCAGCATCAATTCTCT